GTTAGGATTTGCAAGACACGCCTATTACCCAAGAATGTTACCGCACGAAGAAATCATAGGGGGTCATCAAAAGGCCATACTGCCCAATCTGCCAAACCGATAGGGAGGAGCCAGCAACCGATACCCCATATTGCCCATTGTTCATATTAGTGCTTTTGAGGGTACCCTGTTTGGGGTCGGTTTCAGTGGAAACTCTCCCATTCTTGACTACATCCTGGGGCGACCACTCCAAAGGCACAGAGCACTGCAGGCATGTACAGAGGTGCCTGGCAGCAAAGGCCGGCAATCTTGCAATTGCTTTGCTCGCGATTCCCAGACCTCCAATGGCCAAGTTAAAAGAAGGGGCACTTGTTTGTAGTCGACTTTAAAGGGAAGCCCCTCAACATGGATAAGGGGCATCCTTCGTGGTGCTGACTCGTGTTTTGTGTTTGACCCTCCTCTGCCTCAAGCCGCGGTTCTTCCCTATATCTCTCCCGCTTTGTGTCTGATGCAACTGGCGTGCCCAGCTTGTGTGTGTGTGTGTGCCGAACATGTGTATCGCAATTTATCCTGAGTGTACTTTGCGTCGCATGTGTATGATTGTGTGTGTTTGTGTGGCGTGTGCCCGTGAACCACAGAATACATTAGTCTCGTGTGTATCTTGTGAGCGTCTCCTTCATGTGTAAGGCATTGCGCACTCTGCAAAACAACGAGTTCCATCCCTGGTGTCCTTTTCATCCGCCTCAAAATTTGAACCAAACTGAAACCAGCGAAAGTCTGCGGACATGTCAATCAAACTAACCTGTAATAGAACCACATTCTTCCATCGTAGCAGGCTCATCAACAAAAACAACTGATCACTTGTTGGGACCCTGATTTTGACGGCCCAACACAAAAGACCCACAAGTTGTCAGGGTCGGTTTTGGACAAATGTTCAGCCAAATCAAAAGGGCTCCCTTTAGGTGCAACAAGTAACGGCCCACTTACATATTTACAATATTTAGAATGGGGCTGTAGGGTACATAAAGCAATAGTTGGCCTTGATCAGAAGAGAATGATGTGTAAGGCTTTCGCCCCTTACTGGTCGCCCCTTACTGGTTGCGGACACCTATTAGGATCCGTCTTCAGCCCCAAAGACCCCTCCAAGGTGTCTTGGGCCCCGAACCTCAAATGGCTGTCAATCTCAAATGGCACCTTGGTATAGGAAAAGGCTACACCTGTGTAACCCCAGCTGTTTTACCCTCCCACGAATTGACCTGGAACCTGACCGGGGGGTCCTGGAAGACCCTGTCGTGTTGATTGGTGAGAGGGCATTTTGAGCCACACCCAAATCAGCCCACAGTCGGGGCACTCTAAATCTCAAACCGCGCCCGTCGGCTCCTCCCGAGATCTTCTCCTCGAAGTGCTTCGATGCCCATTTCTTTTTTTTGGGGGGGGGTCCTATTTGGTTGTGCTTTGGAGACCACCCCTTACGGGCAGCAACTCCAAAGGAACAAACCACCCCGTTTGGCCGATTTGAGGATCGGGGGGGGGACCGGGGGGAGGGGGGGGATCCAGCCTGCAGGGCATGAAGACCACCGACTTCTGCAGCTCGGAGCACACCACGCAGCACTAGCGAGAGATGTTTCGGAGGAATTTCTGGTGGACATCAGCTAGATGTATGTCCAACCATTGCACCCCATTTTTCATAGGCAAATGGATTCCTCATCCCGCAAAAACCCCACAGAATAAGGTTTGGAGTCCTTTAGGGATTGCAAAACCGTTCTGGCGCTGAGAAAATGAGGGAATCACCCAACTGAACCATCCAACAGGTTGTAAAAAACAAAAACGATAGAACATCAAAAAGCCGATTCCATTTCTTGCTGAAGGGATCTGGACCTCAAGGGGGATTCATCTCCCATTTGGGCAGAAACTGCAGCTTTTGCCCGCAACCAAATATAGGACGTTTGATTCTGGCAGGTGAACCTTGTGCAACATAATCTTAACAGAGATCCAGGTAACCATAGTGGGAAATAGCGCTTTCTGTGCGACTTTGGGCATAATAAATGAAGTCTACCTCCACCGGGCATGCTTCAGGGTGTCCCAACCAAAGTTCATAGCCACTTGCCTTACGCGAGTTGACTTCCCCGAAAGGGGAATCCTGGACTTGTTCGTAAGGATTTTTGGTCTTTGACCGCAAGCAAAACCTTTTGGCCCAAGAGTGACAAGAATCGTACTTGAAGAAGCTATGAAAGGACATGAACATTGCCGGCCACATTTTGGACCCACTCAAATGCCAGGCAACTCTGAGGGGTCAGCAATGTCTCAAAGGGGAACTTCGGGGACTTCAAGAAAGGTGGCTTTGCTTTGGGCTTCCCTGGTGCGCCAACCCCAAGAAGGGTACCCTGAAATGCCACCGCCCCAACATTCGGCAAGGTGGCAAAACTGCCAAATGGCCCCCCAAAGTAGACCCTACCAGAGGGTCATTTGGCATTTCATAGCCACCGGAAAGTCCTGGTGTGGGCAACTCGTTTTAATTGACGAACCGGAAATACACCATGATCGGTACTGTAAGCTCGTTTGTCCAGAAGAATCACTTGCTGGTTCTCAGGGCATTCGGCCATTGTAAAATCATCGAAATCATCCCTGGGGTACCTGGAAGATCAAAATCCTCTAGGGACCCCCCGTCAGATGCCATGTTAGGAGGGAGGGTATGTCCATAACCCGTGGGAAATTCCATACTGAGAATGAACCAGCGAGTTGATCTCGCCTTGGAAACTCCTCGTGGCCAGGGGTTGCAAAAGGGGCATGGATTCGTCTCAAGATGAGGGGACTGCCCCCCAAACGGGTAAAGCCTGGGTAAGGTGTCCTTTTGTTGCTTTAAACAACCATTCCAAAAGCCCTGTTCAAGCCATTTCAAGCCGGCAAGCCAAAAAATACCGGGTCGCCTGCTCTTCCTCTAGATCCTGCTTGTTGCGGCCTCGGGAAAGCTGTGTTTTGAAAGTGCCATGTCTCCGTGTGATCCTTTTGTTACCTTTGTCGGACAAGCTATCAAAGTAACCCCGAGTGCTATGAGTGCTTTGTGAAAGGAAAACAGGCCAGACTATGACCTTGATACCGTCCAGATACGGGACGCACTTGCAAAAGGAAAGCCACAAGGTATCTTTCTGGTAAAAGGACCCAAGGGTGACCCAGGGCCCTGACTCACACGCACGTAAGCCACCTTCAATCTTTCCAGTGACGTTGGATTTTGGTAAATAACCTCCATCGACTACAGTAGATGACGGTAAATACTCGCTGCTGCCTACATCAAACATCTCAAATTGGAAGACCCGGCGGAGAGGACCGAGCACGAGAAAGCGTTCGCACGCCCTTTCGACAAGTTACGTTTTGGCTGGTTGAAAAGGAACATGAGGGAACCCAAAAGGACGAAAGAGCAAGTGGTTACATCATCAAGTCTAGCAATGTAACGTCCACCAAGCTAATACACCCCCGTTTCAAGACAGCATCTGCCAAAGTGGTTGTATTGATCCACCTCTGCAAACTTGTCCATGACAGCTGTGCGGACCACAGGCAGCTGAGACTCAAATTTGTCACGGGCAAACCTTTCTATGGGGAAAATGACCCCAATTGTCGCCCACCCATGTGCGGTGAAATCTCCAAATTGATCTGATTGTTACTCACAAAAAATCATGATGGCTTGGCTCGTTTGCCCTTTTGGATTTCCTGTTCCAATTTCTACAGCAACAAACTTGCTTTGGGTGTTTAAGCACGGGCAAAGATGGAATTATGCTATACCCCAAGCTAACCATGGACTGCCAGTTGAGGCCACCGGCTCGGGATTTGAATTGGGATCCCAACAAATTCAGACTAGGGGCCGCTTTGTCCCTGGTATGTCTAGTACCTCTACCCTGCACCAAACCCGATCTCGGAGCTTGCATGATGACTCACTCCAACTCATTCGCTCTCTCACTCTCTCTCTCTCTCTCTCACTCTCACAGAAACTCACTCGCTACTCAAAAACTGTCTCACTCATTCACTCACACACCCACCCACCTACCCACCCACCTACCCACCCACCCATCCACGCACGCCCTCGCTCACTCGCTCACTCACTCACTCACTCACTCACTCACCCACTCACCCACTCACCTACCCACCCACCCACCCACCCACTCACCCACTCACCCACTCACCCACTCACCCACTCACCCACTCACCCACTCACCCACTCACCCACCCACCCAATCACCCACCCACCCACCCACCCACCCACCCACCCACCCACCCACTCACCCACTCACCCACTCACCCACTCACCCACTCACCCACTCACCCACTCACCCACCCACCCACCCACCCACGCACTCACTCACCCACTCACTCACTCACTCACTCGCTCGCTCGCTCGCTCGCTCGCTCATCCTCTCTGCAACAATCAGCAAGTCATCTGTGTAAAACGAGTCTTGGGCCAAAATTGGCATCAAGCCGCATATATATATATATATATATATATATATATGTGATTGCTCGAAGGTCAACGCTGTCGCGCGAAAGCAGAACCCCCCCCCAAAAAAAAAAGATAGAAGAACGGGGCACCGAAAGCAAAGCATATAGTGAGCGAAGCATGTTCTCTGCGCGAGTTGTCTGTTCAAGCTCACTCTGCAAGTTTCTCTGCGCAAGTTTTCTGAGCAGTTGTCTCTGTTCAAGCGAGTCTGAGCAAGTTTCTCGCAAGTGCTCCGAGCACGTTCTCTGAGCAAGTTCTCTGTGCAAGTTTCTCTGCTCTTTGCGCAAACTTCCCTGCCCATGTTCTCGGCTCAATAATTTCTGCTCGAAGCAGTCTGTGCAAGTTCCCTGCGAGGTTCTCTGCGCAAGTTCCCGGATCATTTTTTCTCTGCTCAAGGTTGCCTATAATTACTCTGCGCAAGATCTCTGCGCAACTATCTCTCTGCAAGTTGCTCTGTTCAAGTTTTTTGCGCGCGTCGTTCTCAATGCAAAGAGTCGTTCTCCGCACAAGTACCGCCAGGAGTTGCCAAACGCTCCAGTTTTTGCCGTCAACCACACCGATCGCAGCAGGAGGAGAACAAATCATCAGTTTTTTACGCATCGACCACGCCAATCCCCACAGAGAACTCCGCGGCAAACGCAAAAAGTAGAAAACAACCCACAGTTCTGGCACATCCATGCCAATCCCCAACTATGGGAGGTTTGCGGAGTGCGAGGTTTACGAATAGAGTATGCGGTTTGCGGGTTGCTTGGATTTTCGATGCTCCAGCAGAAGGTGTGACCCACAACATGTCAGTTCCGCAACAACAGCTGCGCGCAACACAAGGGGAAATGACGCGAAAAGGAAGTTTAGAAGAATTCTCAGCGGCATGGAAACCAACTGAGAGTGTGTTCCTACAGGGTGACTTTGCTTCAGGTTGACAGTACACCACGTCTGCTGCCTTTTGGTTGCGGCCTTGTCTGCAAGTTGAGCGCAGCCTCAATCGCGTAGCACGCGTAGTAGGTTTGTCCCAACATGGGTGCGGCAACGGCTCAGGAGGAGGCATGTTCTGTGCATCGTGCTCTCAGGCAGGCCCGGGTCGCACGCCAACGACATGCTCAATTGTAAACATGGAGTCTTTCAAGACCATCATCTTTAAAAGAATCTCTTGGGTGTGTTCCATGCTGATTTGCAGCAGAGGAAGCTGAACAAATACTCATCAGGGGAAGCTCGTGTCACCCCGCGTGAGATCTCAATGCTTACAAGCCATGTCGCATGAGCACTGTGGTCAGGCACTTGCTGCACGGGTATGGCTCACAATGAAAGAGCCAACTTTTGAGCACCCTCTCTGGGCATGGGCAAAACAACGAATCCCAATGTCTTTGACCCGAACCCGACGCTTCCATTTTCTAGGCGCCGGGCAGGCTTCTTCGTGCCTACGACCAGGATTCGCGGGATGAACAGTCAGCCCCGCGAGGAAGGATAAAAGCCCCGCTGGGTCTATTTGTCAAGCGCCCTGTCCGTTCAACCAGGGGCCCTCTTCCATGCATGATTTCCCTTATGCAAGAGAGAATGTCTTGGGCAACACGCGTTTTTTAAGTAGTAAAGCGTCACTGCACAAGGGAAGCCACTCCTCAGGACTGACATTGCACAGCCCAGTCTATGAATTCTCAAGACGCGCACGGGGCCTCACCAATTCACGCATGCACCCTTTTGCGGAGAGCTTCAAGAAACGCCACGCCTTCTCTGCACGCTCTGCAGGCGTCCTTCCTGTGCGCTTTGCGAAAAGAAGGGTGTGCTTAATTTCTTGATGCCCCGTTTAAGGATGATTGACAAGCAGGTTTGCGGCCGCTTTTGGGGGGCTCATATTCATCACGTGGAGCCTTTGGAGCCAGGCTACTCTGTAAGTCCACACATCCCAAGTACGTCCGTGAACTGAGCTAGGCCTGATACTGATAGGAGCCTTGGGTCTCTGGAGCTTAGCTCCTGAGCTCCCGATCTCAGCACGCGTTGTTGGATCCAACCCTATAGACCTCCCAGACCCCAAAGCGTTTTGAATACCCACCGATTCGAATCGGTCGATGCCACGTGTTTTGCGGAGGCGCTCATTGCAGTGGACAACTCGGACCCCGGCAAACCAAATAGGTGCAAGGCGTTCTTCATAGTTCAAGTGAGATGCAGGACCAATTCGATCGACGCAGCCAACAAGCATTCAACAAACAACAGAACAAACACAGCATGCCCCGTGTTTCTAGAGATGTCTGTTGATTACTTACACCAATGTTTGGTAGATGAAAGGACACCGCGCGGTCAATTAGAAAGATGCAACTGCGTCTCTCTGTCTCTCTCTCTCTCTCTCTCTCTGAATACTAACAGTAAATGGCAAGCCAACCCTGGAGAACATGCAACACCCTTAAAACATGGACTATGCTGTGCAAATAAACCAACATCTCTCCTCTTCTGTCACAAGAAGCAACCTGGTTTCGATGTGGTTGACGGACTCCTTTGTCCCCTCATTTCCTTCAGCCGAACTGATCTAGAAAGGACAACTTTCCAATAACGAGCCACGCAAGGGTTAGGCCCTGTGGTTGGATGCTGTTCGGTTGGGCCTAAATATACTTGATTCTGGTTTATATGTAGTGAACCTGAAAAGGCAAAGGAGTGTCAAAAGAGATCCCAGCAAAGAACACCTACTGCGTCCAACATGACCCCCCCCCCCCCCGGCCAGAAGGCTGCAGCGCCGGCGTCGCACCAGCTGAAGCTGCGCCTCCCAAGGCACGCAGGCCGCACGGCTGGATTCCAAAAAAAAGAAAAGCCGAACCATTCTTAGGGGTCCTCTATTTTGAGACCAACCCACGGAGGTGGCTCCCCTTGAAGTGAAGGACCCCCTCTCAAAAGGGACGCCGGCATGTTAACCAGGGGTAGCTCTGGCCCTCTGGCGGGCAACCTGGCAGGTGGCTCATGGTGGCTCTGGATGGGCCAACACGGCCCGGGCGTTTCTGGAAACTAACATGCCAACAGCAATATTGCCACAAGCAACCAACAGGGGACAATGAACAAGTGATGCCCCAAAGCATCAAAACCCGAAACATAGCCGTTGCTCATATGAAACATGGCCGTTTGCCTTTGCTATATAGCATTTCCTCAACGGGCCCTGGCGGGTTCCGCCGACCAAGAGCTCCGCAAAAGGACATATTACCAGGGCATTGATTCCCATGCGGACCGGAAGGAAACCATTCCAAGACTCGGCTGTTTCTCACATTCTGTCTGTCACATGCCAACCACCTGCCCGCTTGCTGTGAGTCACCAGCTAAATGCAACATGATTATCGAAAAGGATCCCCTTTCCCAAGCGCACAACTATAGGGGGTAACTTCCCCATTTCCTCGGAACCTGCTTTCCAAAATCAGCACCCTACCAAAAATAAAACAATGGGGTTAATATGCCCATTACTTACCTAAGGAGTTTCATCATCCAACGTTTCTTTTAATTGGGGTTGAACCCCAGGAGCAAGCAGGATCAATTTGGAGGACGTTTCCATGTTCGAGCCTCCAGACTTCGCTCAAGACACTGTAGCTCCTGGCACGCAAGGCTCAACGCAGGGATCCAACACGGGTCAGATGCAGTCTCGACGAGGTCTACTTTACAATATGTCCAAAAGCCTGAAGCAAGAATTGGATTCGCACGACTAAGAGGAGACCAACACGAATCGTGGTGCGAAACTTCCGGGGGACCACTTGCAATCTTGCCCCAGGCGAGTAGGTGAACCCAACCGAGTTGACTAATATCCCCCCGGGTTGGCGAATGGAAACCAAAAGTCGAAACCTTGGCGCATCGAAATTGAAAACTCGAAGATTGAAAGGCTACGCACTTGGAAGGCGGAAAACTAAGATCTTGGGGTGGTATTGTATACCTGAATCATTCCGGTTCCTTGTCTGCCTGGCCACCAACCAACTTCACGCGTACAAAGTATACCCGTTTCAAAAAAAGGGGTATGAACAACAGGGAGATAGCGGTCTTTGTGGCGCTGTGAATACGGACCGGCGTGTCGACAACGCCCCATGTGCGTCATGCTTTTGCTCGGGGCTGTTTTGGGGGGCGGTGGCAAAGTGAGCTTAAAGTCGCGTCTTTGCAAGAACAGCACTGTCTTTCCAAACATGATACTGTTTCATGGTGCCAGCATGTGCTCAGTGCCATGAGTGCGCACTGGAGCGGGTATGCATATGATGGTACCTGCAAGTGCGCAGTGCCATGAGTGTGACTGAAGCGAGTGTGCTAATCATGGTGACTGCATGTGTGCAGTGCCATGAGCGTGCTCTGGAGCGGGTGTGCTTATCACAGTGCGAGTCTGCAGACTGGACTTGCGAGACGTCTCTCGACCGCGCGACTCACATATCGCCGCAACGTTCAAGGCGATGACTCACATACCCCTGTAAGGTGTGGGGCTATGGCGTCCGTGCAGGTGCCATGCGGGTGAGCGAAAAACATAAGCACAAACAGAGCCAGAACACACTTGCAGAGACGGACAGAGATCACAGCTGTAGCCAGCAGTTGCAAGAAGCACACATCGCTAGATTCACAAGGACGCGAAGTACTTGACAACGACAGCAAGCTGTTTAGGGCCACTTGCTTGAGGGATATGTACAAACACCCCCGAATAAGACTTAGACACTGTACGCTGTGCACCTCAGCAACCAACTCAAACAGTTGCTTTAATTACCACTGCGGAGAAGCAAGTGGCCTAGAGTTGGAAAAAGCCTCCAACAAACAATGGTTCAAAAGGGAACATGTCACCAAACTCTGATCAGATTATCCTCAAAAGCCGATATCTTGTGGCAATGATACGTCTTGTTGGTTTCATACCGGCATTGTCTCTACACTGTCTGCAAGTCGCTGGGAAGCCAAAGTTGAAAACTTCTGCCCCCCCCCCTTCAAGTAGTCTTTCCGAGGTTCCCGCAAGTTAGAACAGCTGAATTTGGAGGACTACGCTCCCTCCCTGGCGATTCCACGGAAGCCACCAGGAACCCGTTCACGAGAAATGCTCTCTTCCCACGAGGAATGCTCTTTTCCCGAAGCGTTCAAGCTTCCATAGAATTGCCGGCAAGGCAAGAACTTCAACTCATGATTCGCATCCTCAGTTGAATGGCCAAGCTAGGAAGTGGCTAGCTACTTGGGCTATAACCTGCTTACAGGTTTAGTGGGTGGCTGTTCAAACAAATCTTGTCCAATGCCAGGTCCAAACACCGCACCTCCTCTTGCAGCTTCTCCAATTCATCCAGCGCCTGGCACGGATCAAAGGCCGTGGGAAATCAAGTAACCCTCTCATGCCAAAGTCGGCCTGAACCTTGACGCACAGCAGCCAACCATGGACCCCTCCCCCAATTTCCTCAACCATGCCTACAAAGGCTTCCCAAAAGTTGATCACCTTGCTGGAGTTTCCAAGGAAACCGACACCTTCGAAGTTCCAAAGAGAGATTGAGAGAACCCTGTGGTTGTGAAACCCAGCAAATCCCGTTGGCAAAGAACATGCCTTCGACACCGTGAACCAACATCTGGCAACGGATCTGAGACTGCTTGTGGAATTCCAACCAATAGTGAAATCCGGTCTCCAGCTAAGCACACCACACGGCTCACGGTCAAAGCTCCCTAGGTGGAGAATGGCCACGGTTCCTTTAATCTCTTACATTCCCGTAATGCAACAAGTAAGCAGGTCTTATGACATACATCCTCACCAAGTCTACTGCCACCTGAATCAATGATTAAGATTTACAGATCAAACCGCATTGACTTTGACTCAGATTTCATGCTCAAATAGATGCTTCCCTCATTAAAACATAAAATAACCAAAATGGAGGCTTTAAGAACTGTTGGAAAATGGTAGCACCCCTCCCCATAGCTCCCCTTGGAGGTCCATAATAGCCCTGCAGAAGATATCATGTACCTAGAGATAACGTCCCGTTTCATTGCGCCAGCGGTCACCATCCCAGAGCTGAGCATCCGTTCATAAGACCAGGGGTACCTAAGGAGGCAAAACCTCAGTCGCTTTACTAAGCCTTGATGAGGCAATGCCAGGCCATACGCAGGACCCTCCAGGGGAAGCCGCCCCCTCGCAACAATCGCCCCGCGCCGGGAAGCGGGTATCTTGCTTCAAGCTCGTCTGGCAAGCTTTGGATGCACCTGAAGTTCGCGTCCAGGCAAACTATGGTTCTCAAGGAGCCACCCATCAATCGCAATATGGGCAAATAGGCCTACAGGTTAATCCGCCATGCTTTCCACCGCCTTTCTTTTCGGGAAACCGCCTTTGCTTGGGATTTTGGACATCTTCCGAAAAGGATTCCTAGGATGAAAGTGGCAGAAACAATCAGAAGGCAGGGCCCTAGAGCCCAAATGGGGTGCATGACGGGGACCATTAGGAGCCCCCAACCAGCCCCCAATGATCTCGACATGAGCCAGGCAACCCGGCTGTTAGTTGCAATGTTGGAAGAAGATCGCAAAACACAAACCAAACTGTGTATGGGATGTGTGAAAAGATCACTGTGGAGCGCAAGCCACAAAAAACAGTCTCGAAACACACAACAACTAAGCTAATGTGTTGCAGAATGAGCAAATGAGCTAGTACATTATTAACATGAATATGCATGTATGCATGTATGCATAGTGTGCACGTATGCGTGTACTTAGCGCAGCAAACCCACGACCCGCGAATCGCCGCGATTTGGGGAATCACCATCAAACATGTGAATCAAATCGCAATCGCATTGTGGATTCGCAGTTATATATTGCGCATTGAAAGGGCCAAACAAATGGCTGATTTGATATCATTATTGGGCGGAAACTCCTCAAAAAAGGCAACCAAGTGATCAACCTCACAAGCGCAGATAAGGATTTGATAATCTTGTTTGGCGGTTTGGGACTGAAACCCTCGAAAACGGGAATAAAGGAATCAATCAAAGGACCCAAACGAGCGCTGCTAAGGATTTCATATCCTTTTCGGGCTGTCTCAAGCGCACCTGCGTTGCAGCTATTCTTCTGGTGGTCGCGGAAGTCGGCAGCCCAACAGGCGCCTGTAGTCTTTTGGTATATTAGGTGCACGTAGGCTTCTGTTGAAAAGGCGCCGGCACCAGAATCGCACGCCTTGAAATCGTCTGCTGGCTGGCTGTTGGCTGTGTGGCCGCTCCCTCCCTAAAACAGCTACGGCGGCAAGTCGGAGGATTGCTGAGAAGCGCGCCCCAGTCCTTCAGCCAAGGAGTCAGGTTCACCATGTCTTCTGTGAGCAGCTGGCTCACGTGGTCGCCGCAATCACCACGAAGCACGCCAGGGGGCTCCTCTTCCACGATCTGGTCCAGAGGCCCAACACAAAGGAGCGCGGCAAGCTAAACGGACATTGTGCTCTCCCCCCACCAAAGAAACAAGTTAGGTGAAATAACGGTTTCTGCCCCCCAAAATCTTGCTTGAAAAGTGGGCTTTCTAGTCTCGAAATGGACGCCGACCTTCGCCCACCATGCATTCCCCCTATGCGACCAAGTTCTGCTTGAAATGGCGTCCCAAAGGGTGCATATACGTGTATCATATACATATATTGCCCTGAGCCTGCTTGTCACCCCGGCGAAAATCGTCGGACCTGTTGAGCTAGAACATGACAAGCCGATCTCCCAGTTCTGTCATGGCAACGGTGGCCTTTTTGGGCTGATCAGAGCCCCCACACGGGGAGATGGGGGGTCTTTGGGTTCCTCCCTAGTATAAGGGTATTTGCTGAGTATGCAAATCATCTGAACACCGTCACCCTATTTGCATCTATTTGCGATAATGGGTTCTGTTGATTCAAACAAGGGCTGCTCTACACCTAGGGCGAGAATCTCGTCCTTTCTGTCCTTGACTTCCTGGCTATGTGTTTGGGGGCCTTGTAGGAGGGGACATTAAACGCAACGCTATGCCATTCAGTGCCGCAGCGCTCGGGGGCCCAAGCGTGACAAAGCCTGATGTTTCCCTGATTCAACATAATACACACTGCATGCCCCAAACGGATATTCTTCTGAAAAGGGGGGGGGGTTCTGATCTGCTCTGCGGGGGTGTAACCCTTGTATCATATTGAGCTCATCTCGGGCTCAGGCACGTCCGCTTTGCATACATGTCCAGCCCCTACTGAATCGGCCAGAAACACACAACGGCGACCCTTTGGGATTGTCAGGGCAACCAAAGGCAAACCCATAAAAAAGATGATGTCTTTAGTCTATTCTGCATCCAAATATTGCACTGGAAAATCATCGAAAAAGGTGACACCACTGACACCAATGTGGATGCCCATGCGTTCTCTAAACAAAGTGGATTCACTTGGCATCACAAGTGGCAACTTAAGCATGTTGTATCGGGGTACCTGCAAATTCTAGAATCATTCCAAAATCTGCAATAAGACAAGAAGAGATCCCCAAGTAAAGGACGGATGTACCAGGTAGTAGTATGTGTCAAAATAGGGAACCTCCAAAATGGGAGTTGTCCTGTTGGATTCCCTTTAAACCAACAGTTAGAAGTAATTGCCCTCCAAAAACACAGCCCCAAATGTATCCGTTTCAATACCTTGAATAGGATCCCCAAGCAAAGCATCTTTTTGAGCTAGCTTTACCCCTCAGGTGAGCACAGAATCCGAATGGCGAATTGATTCCATGCGCCCGGGCTTTCCACCGGATTCGCCACGCGGCCCTGGCAACATCGCCAAGTTGGGTGGTATATCGCCTAGGCTGTCCGTTTCCGCTGAACGACCTGCTTGTCCCAAATCCCGGGTCGGATCCCAAAAAGGCCGCAAGTGCACCCCAAAGGAGGGCTAAAAGAGTGCTGAGAAGGTGGTGGCATCCACAGTCGGGCCACAGTCACACCAGCAACCATGTGAGAGACACCCCATGCACATGCATCTGCAAGGCAGGTAGGACAACTCGGGGGTGTAAGCTAGCTCGTGCCCTGAAGATCCTAGTGCCTGAAGGCAACCCAATTTCTACATTCCAAAACTGAACAAATCGCAGGACACCCTGCAAGAACTGACGTGGGCCAAGCAGCTGCGTATGCATACTCTCGCACATGACTTCTCCTTGCTTGTTCAGCGGTGATTGCGCCTCCCATCCGCACAAAGTATATGTGGCACACACACACACAAAGGAACTTTGCATCATTACAGTTGCCTGGAAGCTTCTCATTCAGGCATGGGCAAACCAAGCCATAATTACACTTATTTTTTCAAAGGGTTTGATTGAGGGCCAAGCATATACCTGTAAGTGTTGCCGGTGCGAGGGCGCCTTTGGTTGACCTTCGTACCAGGTAGCCAGCACGTGTGAGAGATCGACATCGACCATTTGCGCCATGGTCCAACTAACATTTCCCGAATCCTTCCACCGTCTCGACATGTTTCCCTGATTCATAAACCCCAATGATTTATCAGGGATCGGTCTGTCCCCCTGGAAAGGAATCCCCACAAAAAATGCCCACAAAAAATGGAGCCCTTATCCCAGACCTGTGGAGTTGCTGTTTGTTGTTGCTTGAATCAAAACCCCCTGTCGATCACGGCGCATGACCAAAGAGCCGCCGCACCTTGTCCGCCAAGCCGATGTCACATCTGGCGAGAACAACGTGGGAAAGGAACTAGTTGAGGCGTGTCAAAGCCCCTACCTGGACCCTCAAGATAGCTAAATCACCCCATAAGTGTGTGGCAATATCCCATTTTTGAGCGTAGTTTGAGGCTACAAGTACAAGTTGCGTGGGTGTTCGGCCAAGCAAGCTGTTGCTGACCTGTATGATGTTACAACCCACTTAGAGGTCCCCCGTTCACTGGAGTTAACGTTGTTGCTGCCAGGTTCTTGGCTCAAACAACTTGATAACTGGGTGCCGTAAGTTGGCCGAACACAAGTCATAGGAACGCCGCCCGACTGGGGGAGTCATCCGGAACAACACAATTAGCTCCTTTACTTCTACTTGCTTTAGTAAAATGATTAACAATCCATCCCCAATAAACAGGGCTGCCGACATTCCTCCTTTCAACCTCAACCCGCTAAAAGGAAACTCTCAATCAGAAGGCGACGTGCCCGTTCTTTAAGGGAGCATAGAATTGAAACCCGCTGAATAAACCGTTTGGGTCAAAGAACCCAAAGATATGGGTGCCAAATGATGCGGGGTCTGGCACAATTTTCTGTGTGTCTTTTTGTTAGGGTACCCCCCAAAGTGGGTGGGGGCGGTTTCCTCTCGGTTCCCTTTTTCAACTACCAAATCCGGGGGTACCAACTCCATCGCCTGTGCGAGAGCAGCTCCCCCACCACCTGCGCTCGCTCTGCGCCTGACGTGGGCCGCATGGACCACACTGCTTCTTGGCCCATCCGGGTGCAGAAAACTATTTGTTTTACACAAAAGCAAGTATTTTTTTGTTTGCCACTTAGGCGGCACATTAACGGGATATTGACCACGCACTTAGTGGGCTGGTCATCCAATACAGGGCCCTATATGTCCGCTTTCAGCTGGCTTCAACATCACCGCTATTGGTTGTCACTTTTGGATGAGTTCTTCTGGTGATGTTTAAGGAAAGCTTTCGGGGTCCCGTTCGTGACCCACTTTGACAAAAAAAATGAAAGTCACCAAGTGTCAGAATTCTCGGGATGGGCCCCTAAAAAGGCAACGAGTGCCCTTGAAAACCTTCCACCAGTTCTACTTATTTGCCACAGGTATGCTTCGGATGGAACAAGCCACGTCATGCCACGACATTGCCGGTAAAAAGGGCTCATGCCCATGAAGTGCCGTAGCTTCGGTCTAGGAGCAGGCGGAGTAAGTTGAAAGCTGACGAGGCGTCTGCCGAATCCCACGCCCAGCCCACCTGGTCAAACCTCAACGCTCCGAGCCCCCGGCTCCCGTCCACCGCCAGCGCGAGCAGCGGTGTCCAGCGCCGGTTCCTCCAGCCGAAATCCGAAAGAACCCCAGCTCGCAAGCATTGGACCCGTCCGTTGGAGAAGGCTCTTGATCTCAAAAGGGGTTTTTGAGGTAGCAAGATTCTTAGGCTCTTAGGGCACCCTTTTTACAATCATGGAACCTGCCAAGAGGATTTCAAAAGGCTAGAGTCCTCTTGAAAAGGCCTCCCTTTGGAAGCAGAGGGCACCGTGCCACAACTTTGGCTCAGTTGAAAAGAAAAAGAAAAACGCTGTCCCTTGGGTTCAGCATCTTGCTTGGCTTGACATGAAGTTGGGCACCTTCATTCAAAGGCTTTTCACATACACACACACACACACAAATCGAGCAAGCTCTTTTTCAACCCGTAAACCTCCAGCCTCCATGGGGGGTGTTGTTTATTGGGCCAATTGATGTTAAAGGGAAACTTTCTCCGCTCACTGTAAGTTTGGGCGCAACACGATGAATGGCACTGTTTCCACTTGGGTGCTCGCCCGAGCAAGTCGTTGGTAGCTTAGGCTACACCACACTCAGAAGTAGTGAGGTTGAATCTGGTGGATCTTGCAGCTGTGGCCAGCCACTCCGAACGTCTAAGCTTGCGAGCTTCAAGGGCTCACCGCTCAGCCTTTGTTTGATTGGAGAACAGGCGGGGAAGCTCTGGGGTCGGATAACAGGGACAGGCACCTGTAGAATACGTACCTCAGCATGATACTACGTGGGTGGCAAATTAGAAACCACCAGAAAGCCTTTGGCGGACGTCATTCACAGGATTCGTGCAACCGGTTTCGATCCAAACCCATGATCCCCCTTGTCTTTCCCCAGAGCCCTTCTGAACACCGTGGGGTCTGTTGGGAGAAAAAAAGGGACGAGGGGGTGAGCTCCCCGCTTCGCCTCAGCTGAGGCGGAGGGCTGCTGATGCTTTCCGAGGGCTCACCTGAGAGATCTCACTCGGAAACCAAATCGGGAGATCGAGAAAATTTCCACTTGGGCGTGTCTTAAAATATGGGATCCCCAGGTTTCCTTTTCGTTTCGCTGTAAAACCAGCCCCGAAAGGGACCCCTGGATGAAAGACACGCCCACTCAGAAGGGGGGGGGGTTCTGGGTTCCGCCATAGTTACAGTTAGTAACTTATTGGCAAGCCAATTGGAGCCGAGGCCGCCTAGGCCATTTATAAGATAAAAGCGCCTCTAAATGGACATGACCCTGCCATTAGTAGATGATAAACAAATGGCTAACCACTAACTTGGCTGAACATCTAGCATGACCTTCTGTCGGAACGCCCTCAAAATGGACAATCCCCACACAGGAATATGATGTCCGCCAAAGGGTCCCAAACAAAAATTAACATCCAATCCAAGCGGGGAAACACTCTCCAAGGATTCAATATGTGGCACTGCCAATTAACCTGAGCAGGCCCCTGCAAAGGCAGCATCCAACAGCTGCATAGCTGCAGCGACATGCTCAGCGAACAGCCCTCCGTCATTCTCGCCACGTCATTCCGCCAACCGAAAGGCCACAGGCCATCGGATGGAAAGTAAAGGAGAAAAGAGCCCTCGGCCCAGGTATCCACAGCCACGGAACCCCCCCTGGAACTCTACGTGCTCCGAACCGAAAGACGCATATTGGGAGAATCTCCTTTGTTGAGTCGAAAAGAAGTTATTTTCACGAGAGATGAACCTCCAGCCAATAGGCTAATCATCGGGTTCATGCGCAAAGGAGGAGCCAGTGGTGGGTTCACAACTTAATTACTTAAATAACCAGGCCTTCGCCTAAACATATGAGTGGCCTAACCCGGCACGGATTCAGTTGAGGGTGAATTGAAAAACGGAATCATAACGAAGCCAATACTTTCCATGGTTTGTTTAGAAAAATGGATGACAATCATGAGGGATGCACTCTTAGAATAAGATGGCGAACTCCCCTCCTCCCTCTGAAGTACTACTGACCATCCTCGGCTCCAAGTCACTTGTCTGCGCTCATTTCCCGCGATGTGTTTTCCTCAAGCAGAAGCCGCAGGAATCCCCTAAAATTCTATCAATTCTCCAATCCAGACCTCCAGCCAGAAGGTCGACGGAAACCATGTGTCTGGGTTTGTTATTTTGAACCCAGTCAATATACATATATATATATATAGTATACTATTTTAATAGCAAAGAGCAACTGCGGAGGTCTGAGCCACTAAACCATACCATTTAGAATATGAAAGCAGCACCTTGACCGAACAGGCCCTTCAGCCGCTCGCCGGGGGCGAGGCACATGGGGTCCACCCGGAACTCCAGGAGGCTTCTCAGAACCTCTCGAATGTGTTGATTGCGGGTTCAAAGCCAGCCAATCCTTGTCCTTAGCCACCACATGGCGCAAGTCGACATCAAATCATATCAGATTCTGTGCCGTAAGTCAACCTGTAGATATAACATGACATTGGCTTTTACCAGGTACTAGGCAGCTTTTTTCGGTTTGCTTGCAGCTTGAAGCACTGGGAGGGTTGGTGCCACATCCAGACCCAATTTGGTCCGCTTTCAAGAGAGACCCTAAATAAGGCTGTTACTGGTTCATAGCAAGATGGTAAACCACGTCCTGTACATACGGCCTCAATATCAACAGGGTTCCCTGCATGCATTCAAACATCAGCCAACACGAAACTGATCTTTATTTAGCCCACCACAAGCTTGTGTCCCGTTTTGGCAGTCCTGGCCTGGGTGCTCCCTAGATTTCCCTTTCAACGTCACACCAACAATACTCACATTCATTTGGAGCACAAGGTGATGTTAAGACCCAAAAAACGGGAATGATTGTTGAACATCATTCAAACAGAACCACAAAGGACAAACCCAACAAGCGGTATTTCAAGTGCTTCAAAAGTGACGCGGAAGAATCCCCGCCAGGCCGCTACTATGAAGAACGGGAAACAGCCAATTGTGTTGGTTCATGTGACGACTTATGGCCTGTGACCTGTGACTCGCCAAAACTGGCTACAAGAACTCAGCCGCCTGGGCTCGCCTGGTTTGGTCATGTCGCTTGGAGCAAACTAACTTCAGGCGAGCGCCCTTGCCCAAGGCAATACCGGTGGAAGACAGGCGCACAGCCAAAGTTTTGTTCAAATTCAATCAAATCTAGTTGTTTTGTTGTTTTTGTTGGTGGTGTCCCTTTGCCACCTTGGCTGCTGCCTGCCAAATTCTTTGGGCGCCCCTCGCCTGAGGGCTTTGCACCAAGTGTGCCCTTGCATTGGGCGTGTGACTTGGGCAAGTGGTCTTTTGCATGAGTCCACACCTGGATGCTATTTTCCAAGATGGGGGATCTTTCATCCTATTCAGCTCTTTATTCAGCGGTACCTAAATGGGTTCAAATGGTACCTAAATGGGTTCAAATAAACGGGTTCCAGCTTCCACCAACATGAGAGTGGCATCCTGTTACGGCCGAATGAAAACAAGCCAGGCGTTGGGGAATCGAGAAGCTGCCCTGCTCGGCCCAACCTTGCTCAAGTCACCGGAAAAAAAATCGTCTTTCCACCAATACCTAGTTAGCCGCAGAGGAACCCACTGAATGGCATCTGACAAATGGCTTCAACGCTACACGCATTATTCACCTTTGTGAAAGTAGTAGGAACTCGGCCAAACAAGAAGGGGACTTTGAGTAGGTTCATATAATATGGGTGTTTCTATACCCTTCCTGGATTGTAAAGGGAAGCCACAGGGAAACTCCATTTGGGATTCCCCTAGGCAGCATCCCGAACGCAAAGGTTCCCCTTCGCGGACGCTCCCGCACCTCCAGCTGGCAATTCCGCACTGCTTCCCACAAGGAGTCCCGCAGCTCCTGCGAAAGACTGAGATTTGCACATGGCTTCGTTTGCCTTTTGCGGCGAGCATCTCGGTGTCCAAACATGGGGTGGTGGGCTGGGATTTTTTTTGGGGGGGCTTCTTTGTCCAAATTGGTAAGATCCGATCCGACCCTCCAAGGGTCCAATGCTTCGGGTGGTATTCAGTAAAGAATCACCCAAAGGGGTTTTGGGCAATGGACCCTGAAGATTCGCAAGGAAACTAGTTGGATGGCTCAGTTTGGGGTGACTCCTCTACCGAGCTAGCAAGTGTTCGGAGGGTTCAATTGCAAGCAGTGATTCGTTGGTAGGAAACGAGTTGGAACTGTGTCCTTGTTGGGGTTGATTCCAAATTTGGTGGGTAACCTACCAAACAAACATATGGGTTTGTATTTTTTAGGGTGGCCGGGCAGGAAGGTTTGAGTACGGGGTATGATTCGCAGGTATGATTCGCGGGTATGATTCGGGGTATGATTCGGGGGTATGATTCGGGGGTATGATTCGCGGAAGAAGCAGCAGCAGTAGTAGTAGTAGCAGTAGTCGCCGAAGTAGTAGTACTAGTAGTAATATTGTAGTAGTAGCAATAGTAGTAGTAGTGGTAGTAGTAGTAGTAGTAGTAGTAGTAGTAGTAGTAACAATAGTAGTAGTAGTAGTAGTAGTAGTAGTAGTAGTAGTAGTAGTAGTAGTAGTAGTAGTAGTAGTTAGTAGTAGTAGTAGTAGTAGTTGTTGTTGTTGTAGTAGTAGTAGTAGTAGCAGTAGTAGGAGTAGCAGTGGTAGTAGTAGCAGTAGTCCTAGTAGTAGTAGTAGTAGTAGTAGTAATAGTAGTAGTACTAGTAGTCGTAGTAGTAGTAGTAGTGGTAGTAGTAGTAGTGGTAGTAGTAGTAACACTAGAAGCAGCGACGTAGTGGCGCAGAAGCTTTGAAAAGACTTGGCGCTGGCCTTGGCAAGGCAAGTTCATTGCGCGGGTATGATTCGGGTATGATTCGCGGGTATGATTCGGCTAGGTGCAAAACGGCACTGATTACAAACTCGTAGTAGCTGTGGTAGTAGTAGTAGTAGCAGCAGCAGTAGTAGTGGTAGTAGTAGTAGTAGCAGTTGCAGAAGTAGTGGTAGCAGCTGTAGCATAAGCAGCAGCGGCTGTAGTGGTGCGGACGCTGTGAAAAAGACTTAGCACTAGCCTTGGCAGGGGAAGCTCATTGTCCGGGTATGATTCGGGTATGATTCGCGGGTATGATTCGGCTAGGTGCAAAACGGCACTGATTTCAGACTCAGAATGATGTATGTGGTAGTAGTGAGTAGTAGCAGAAGCAGCAGCAGGAATAGTAGTAGTAGAAGTAGTAGTAGTAGTAGTAGTAGTAGTAGTAGTAGTAGTAGTAGTAGTAGTAGTCAAGGTTGTAGTCGTAGTATTAGTAGTAATAATAAAGGTAGTAGTCGTAGTAGTAGTAGTAGTAGTAGTAGTAGTAGTAGTAGTAGTAGTAGTAGTAGTAGTAGTCAAGGTTGTAGTCGTAGCAGTTAGTAGTAAGGGTAGCAAAAGCAGAAGTAGAAGCAGTATAGTAGTAGTAGCAGCGGTAGTAGCGGTAGTAGCGGTGGTAGTGGTAGTAATACTCGTAGTCGCGGTAGTAGCAGTAGTAGTAGTAGTAGTAGTAGTAGTAGTAGTAGTAGTAGTGGTAGTAGCAGTAGTAGTAGTAATTGGAGTTGTAGGAGTAGTAGTAGTAGTAGTAGCAGCAGCAGCGGCAGTGGCAGCGGTAGTGGTAGTATTGGGTAGCGCTGGTGGTGGTTGTTGTGGAGACAGTGAACAACACAAAACGGTAGAAGAACAGTAGCATCTTACAGCATACGTTTTAAGGGGTATGATTCGGGGGTATGATTCGGGGTATGATTCGGGGGTATGATTCGGGGGTATGATTCGGGGGTATGATTCGGGGAGGTCCCACCTTCTGCTTTTTGAAGCAACTCAACACACCAAAAAAGGACAAACCCATATCATGATAAAGGGTGCACATACCAGTAAGCAGCCAGGCTTCCCAATTCAGAAATCGGCAAAGGTTCAGGATTCTGCCTGATATAAAGGATTAAATGACTAGAATGGGTTTGGGGGGCACTTAAAAGAAACTACATTAAGTCATGATCAGAAGATCATATAAAAAGTATTCAGCACCTATGTATTGTAGTACAGCCCAGGTCGTGTGATGTTTCATGGCTACATCTTGGCGTGCAAATCAAAGCCTGGATGCCAAAGGGATTGGTGACTTCGCGGATGGACTGTGCCGAAGCCTAGGATGTACTCAAGGGGTCAAACTAGGTCAAAAGCACCCTGGGTTTGTACTTGGAGGTTTCAACAAACCAACCGTGACTAGTATGGAAAACCACAAAGCAACCATGTAGAAGGGCTGATTCCTACGAATCTCATGCTTCATGGGCATGGCCCAGGTTCAAGACACAGGGGACCTCCTGTTGGTCTGGAAGAAACCAAAAGGAACCACGGATTTGACGTCTAAAATATATTCCAGCTGGGAACGCAAGACAAAATTAGAAGTACGCTTCTTCCTTCCTTGTCATCCCTTGTCTTTCGCAATTGGCAGAATCTTCCCGTTCCTTTCCAGCCCAAACAAGTCCGAATATTTGCTTGCTACAAGCCCGATTTAAGGAACTCAGGAAGTGCGTATTCATGGATCTGATGTGATGTGGCACAAAGGTTTATGGGCAGCCTCCCTTTTCTCCGACCCGAGCACCGGCCTGTGGACGAATGAAGGGGTTGGTGTAGAGCAGTCTCAGCACCACCTGAGAGAAAGAATGCTCCAAGGGGGTCTGGAAAGTAAGAAAATCTCCGTTTGTTGGCTTCCTTGAGGGGAAGTCAGAAGTTATGTGCTAGTTCCCCTTTGGTCTTCCAGTAAAGCAACCTGGGTACCCTCAAAAAACACGCGACCAAATAAATAACAATAACATCAAGTTCAAATATTGCGTGGGCTCGCTCCACAAAAATGCAGGGAAGCCCCCAACACCATGGCCCAGAGCTGCAAGGGGGGGCTATCCCAGGAGCCCAGCTGTGCCTGCGGCCTTCGGGGCCTGATACAGCGGAGAAAAAAGAGATCAGGAGACATTCAAAACAGTGATTCCTCTAGCATTGCTTCTTTTGGGTTCCAGCTTAATGATATTGGATGCAAAGAGAAATTGCTGGTTTACACCATGAACCTCGTCGCAGCAAGCAGCGATAATTCCACTCCTCATTCCCTGCCCAAACTCCAGGTGAGTGCATCCCTTGAAAGGCCACATCTGGCTTTTTTCTCCAAGCAATGGTCATACAATCGTAGACCATGGGGGTCTAAAGGGATGTCAAAAGAAGACCAGCGCCAATGTCGTTTCTGTAGCGGTTTGAAGAATCACGGAACAACAGTCATGGGCCGTTTGTGCGTCCGGCCTTGAACAACAAAAACTAGCGAACTACCACTTAGAAGTGGCCGGCGATTTCCCATATCAGAATTTTCGAGCCGTACAAAAAGCCCAGGTGGTATCCCCAATAGCAACCCTCGGAACCTCTTCAGAACCCAAGCCCACATCCGCTCCGAACCACACAAGCCTGTCTGGGCAGAGACCCCATAGCTTTCAGCTATTGGCGAAAAAGGAGCTTTTCTCTTCGTTGCGCGGGATGACTTCTAGCGGAACTCCCGCCCGAACACATACTCCTCACGGGCAGGTAGATGCAATCAGCAATTGCTTCGCCGGAAATCAAGACTTCCCCCACTTTCGGTTGTTCACTTTCAGCAGACCCCCCCCAAAGGAGTTGGTACTGTTTGTTAGCTCGGCTTTTACGATCCCTTGTGCGTGAGGAACCTTCCTTGGTAGTGCCTTTGCGCTGTTTGAGGGCTCTTCCAGGGTTAAGGCAGCTTCAACAGACCTCGAATGGATAGTGCATGGGCGGGTTGCCCAGCGTCTCTTTGTCTCGCTCCGGCCACGGGACCATCTTTGGTCTACCATACTGGCAAATCAGGTACCACTTCTCCAAGGCGAGAGGCTCGCTACGGCTAAGAAGACAACAATTAAAATAAAGTTGTATTTGTTCCTAGATGCTTGTTGATTATTGTTGTCGTGCATTGGTCACCCCCTTGTCCAATTCAGGATGCGTTGACCCAAAACCCAAAGGAAACTGATCGTTTGCTTGGGCCCCCTATTTCAAGACGTACCCGCATGGTGTGGCCATTCCTGTAGAGCTCTATGCAACAATCAACTTCGAGGATTGACATGGGTGCGTGTTGGGCGCTCAATTCACACAGCTCAGGATGTCCAGGATTTGAAGATCTTGGAGACAGTCTTGGCTGCTTCCTGCGTCAAGCAAAGCAAAGGCTGAATGAACCCAGTAGCTCGGCGGCAGAGCGCCAAGTTCATGGGTTGATTAATGAGAAATGAACATCACATGGCTGACTGTTGGCTCATATAGTCTGGACATCGATCAGCTTTCAGCTAAGATCTCCTCTGAACAAATGGCGACCTAGGATGAATGAACCTCTGGTTCGTTTCTAGAGGATCCAATTGTATAAAGAAATGGAGACCTCTAAAGTGTAGTTGACTACCCTAGGAGGCGAAACAACATGTCCCGGATTGGTCAAACCACTGGGCAGTAAAAAGCAGCCATCACTTACACCTGGCCCTGAATAAGGCCTGATTACTAACCTATTGCTTGGATGACTGCCCCACATAGTAAGCGGCTACTAACCGCACTTAAAGAAAACGTCTCAAGTTTCAACAATTGCTTCCCAACAATGTAGAGCCTCCTCTGTTGGTGCTGTTTGGCAACGGGATCTTGCGGGGCCTCAAACAGGCGCCAAGCAGCATATGGTCAGGCGCTTCGGATGCATCGCTCATCCAACCCACTCCGAGCACCTTGGAACCTGAACCATGCGGCTCTGTTGCCTGTCAGGCACGCGCGTCTTGTGCATTCCAACCCCCAAGCATGGACCACGCAGCCACGGTATCTGATGCGTCAACTGGACGCACAACGGGACTTAGGAATTGGGGTTTTGATCATGTGCCACATGGGGTGGTCATCCATGTAGAGTCTTACTTTGGGAAACAGGGGATCAAAGGCCCAGCTTTCTTGCCGCCGGGGAAATTTCCTTTCAGGTTCCATGTTTGATCAGGGTTCCAACGATCTTCAAGTAGAATTGTGGCAACGGATGCGAGCCCCTCGCTTGGACTTTAAACTTTTGAGCCTGGATCAGAATAAGAATGGCAAACATTGGGTAGCAAAAGGAAGAAATTGGTGTTGGTCTATTTTGCTTTACTTTGGTTTATGTTGCTTTCCTTTGCCTTTGGTGTCCAATAACACCCCACGGGACTTGGCAAAGCCGCTTCCTTCAGTCTGACTCCCTTGGGGGCACGTCTTGCCAGGTCCGGCGTTCCTCGCCCTTCCAAGCCTTCGCCTGTTCCGGGATCACGCCGGAGGACCAAATCGCCTCAGACCTGGGGCCGTCTTTTCGACGGCTTTCCGCGCGTCGGATCGATGCGTCGGATCGATGCGGCACGATTCATTACTGGTTGGCTCACAGAGATTGAAGGAACCCCGTGGCCTTGAAGGGCCAAAGGTGATGGCAATGACGCCTTGAAGAGGGGTTTATGACACTTTTTCGTCACTCTTCCCCTGGCGGCAGATCTTCCGGGGTCTCGCGCCCCAAATAGGCTTTCCCTTGAGAAAGTCGTGCCGGGGTGTTCGGCCAAGTTCGAAAGCTGTCAGGTGATCAGAGAGTTGTCTGGTGTATATTATGGGAAATTCATGAATCCCCCATGCTCCCAAACTGGCCAGAGAGTAGTGACTTTTTTAAGCAAAGCTCACATGACATGATTGTATGTCTGCCTAGTTGTCCATGGGAAAAGCGGAATGATTGCGTTTGAGTTGGGAAAGAGCAATAAGCAAGACAGTGTCCTCAACTCGATTTCTTTTTCATTATAGAACAGGAAATCAGGGATTCCCTATTCCCCCAATCCCAAATAGATATTAAGGATACATTGGATTTGCAATACTTGTCTTTGCGAATCGGACTATCCTGACCAGCCTGCAGAAAGCATGCCACATGTATCAGGGAACTTCTCAGGTGCCCCCTCAGTTAGGTAGCCAGCCAGTATTTGCTTCTCCCCAGTTTCCGAGTTGTAAGGCTCGTTGTACAGGCTTAAAGGCTTAAAAGGGCTAGTTGTCTACGGCCACCTGACAATCAAAAACGGCTACCCTCAAAAAAAGGGTGTCCACACTTGGGACCGGGAGGGAATGACCAGCCGGCCTAAGCCTCAACGCCCTGACGATTCACTCTCTAGCCCCATGTATTTCGCACTTGCAAAGTACGTCCCTGCAGATTAACGTGAAACCCAAACAAAGCGCAGAACGTTTTCGAGGAAGCTCCTCTTGGGGACCCCCCGGTTTTGGCTTCCTTCCACCAAAACTTCCAGAGGAGTCAGCTGCCTCTTTCAGACCAAGAGGCACGATCCTGGGCGCCGGCGGCGCCGCATCGCAGCTGGGGTTGTCGATGTCGAAGATGAGGACCTGATGGTGTGAGTTGAAGTTCATGTCTTGGTCCAAAGCATGGAGCCAAACGTGGGGAAAGGTGCCCTTCAAACTCCAATGTCTGCTGGAAGATCCAATTGTCTGTGGCCTGAAGGTTTTCTGGGTTTAGAAGGCCTTGGGGTAGGAATAAGCCCAGAAGCCAAGGACATGCTTCTGTTTCAGACCTTATCAAGGGTTGGATAGGTGATACTGTGAATGGACAAAACTCACAGGAGGCTCCAGTTGGTAGTGGATTCATAATTGGGAGCTCATCATTCCCCAATTGGTGCAGGATTTTGTCCACGGTAGCTTGGAGAATTGGGTTTGTCCCAAAATAGGGAGCGCCTATGATCGGCTTCTGTTAGTTTGCCATCAAACGGTATCAACAACGGGGGTCCACTCTGTGAAAGCCCCCAAGTAGGATCAGATTTGTCTGAATTACAAGACTTTCCTGGTCTGCTTTGAGGGAGCACTCAAAACCTTGAATGATTCCGTACCCAAACCCGAACCCGCAGTGTAGACAAACTAAACTCCCCAGCGGCCAAAGGTAAATCAAAATTGAAACGAACCCCCCAAAAAGGAAAATAACACGAACGGAGGTTCGCCAATGTCCTTGTTGACCCCTGAAGAAAGGCCAAAGGAAAAACCATCGATGGAGGTCGACGGGTGCCTTGCGACTGCCAAATCGACTCGACGCGTTGCTTTTCGCGCCTCGTTCTTGCCCCGGCGAAGCAAAGGCGCGGGGACAAACAACGTCTGCTGCGGGCCCACCTGGCGAGATCCGGTAGGGTCACCAGGCAGATACCCCCCCTGACCCGGGTCCCGTATGCTCTAAATGTGTCCTTCAAACACCCTTCCGAAAGAGAACTCCAAAACTGGGCCAAAAGGTGACGTTTAATCCTCTTTTTTTAAGGTAATAGAAAGTTCACAGTGACCAGGGAAAAGCCCATGACCCCTGAGGCTTCAGTCGGGATCTGAGGCACGTGATACCACAAAATATTGTGACTTTATCTCTTGGCAGGCTTGATTGACGCTTGCGAAAGCTGACCTCCCAGAAGCGGCCCAGGTTGAAGCCATTCACCTGGGCGAATCCGATATGCGGGAGGTGAGAGACATCCGCAAGCATGTCGGGACCAAACACCTTGAAAGAATGGATTTGCGGGCAAATAGGTGAACCCAAAATGGTGAATTCCCCAAAAAAGGGATTCGGCTTGGGAAGTCTATCTGCAGCCTGCAGCATGTGTAATAATTTCAAATCCTGAAGTAAGGGATCCAAAGGCAGGGGTTCCTTCAGAAGCATTCCTCCACCCCAACCCCAAATGGTGGTTTCCTTGTTCAGGTCTTGTCAAACGGCGATGCTTTGGCCAACTATCCAAGCCCAAAGGACCCTGCCCGGAATCCGTGATTTTAGCACAGAGCGCGCTCACACGTTGCGTTTGGGATCCGATGCGCTCCAAGTCCTTTGTTTTGGAAGGCCCAGGGTCCGCCCCACGCCGCTACCGTTTTGGTTCTCTGTCTTGGAGGAACCCCCAACGGCTCCCCAACTGTTTTTGTCCCCCCGGTTTAGAGAAAATACAAAATTAACGCTGACAGCTTGCTTTCGCCCCGGTTGTTTATAGAGATTTCAACAATCGCTGTTGTGGTTGCTTCAAATAATCCGAAAACCGATTTCCAAATACAAGACGCTTTTAGGAGACCGTGCTGGAAAGCTTCTTTTCTTGAAACGCAGGCCTCGTAGATGTCCCTGAGGAAACTCTGAAATTTGCTAAATGATGATCCAAACTGCACTTGAAGATGCCTGTAGGCGGATATAGGGGAACCCTGCCCACGAGAATGGTGATGCTCAATTGTCAAAAGGTGATGTTCAAACCGCTCTTTAAGAGCAGACATGGGCTGGGTTGGGAAACAAGAAGGGTTGCTTTCACCAAACTCATCGAAGGCACCAAGCCCCATATTTGGATTACCCTTCAAACATGCTCCATTGGATTCTTCACGAGGCTGGAGGGTGGCGACAAATCCCAAGCTGCCATGGACAAACACGATTGGGGTATGCCTCTTGACTTCCCTTTGAACTAAGCTGAAACAGGTGATTGCCAGCCAAAATTTGGATATACAACGATGCGGTTCGTGTACTTGACATTTCACATCTCCCCATGCCCCATGCTTTAACTGGGCTGTCTTCAGATCTCCTGCCAAAAGTTCAGCTTTCAGTGGGTTATATTCGGAAACCCAATTACTAAACCAACTAAAACCAACCAAATACCCAATGAACCGGACGCTTCGCTGGTTCCGGACCACGCCAATTGAGGCGAGTCACGCAGGCGAAGCCCTTCCTAAAGCCCTCGAGCGACAGGAAGCCATCGGCCGGCCTGAAGCGGAGGCGAGTTGAAAGCGTCATTCCGTTCCCGGTTGAGGTTCCCCGTAACGGGTACCGGGTAGCTTTTTTGGATCAAAGGCGGGGAGCTGCTCTTTTCAACCTATCTTAAGAACCGCTCGGGCGCATAGGTCCAACTTGCTTTGACTAACTGACTGACTGACTGACTGACTGACTGACTGACTGACTGACTGACTGACTGACTGACTGACTGCCTGCCTGCCTGCCTGCCTGCCTGCCTGCCGGCCTGCCTGCCTGCCTGGCTGACTGATTCACAGAGACAAACACCTTTGCCGCAGCCCACCTTTTCCCAGCCATGTCCGCCCCAACCTTCAGATCTCCGGAGGCACGTCCAAACCCTGCGCCTTCCGGCGCCGTCCGAGGCTCTGGCGTCTGCACGAGGAGGGAGTAGCGGAAGAAGCGGGGCCCTCGGGTCCAGGAGCTCCGCAGCGCCGAGACGCCTTCGCCTTGGATGGCGGTGACTCCATCCCGTTGGAGTGGTGGCTGTCCTTTTGTCGTCCCTTTGGAACCTGGGGTAAAGCAGGGGGGTTGTCCTTGTGTCCCAAAACCACCACCAAAAAATTGCGATCGGCGAAAAAGCAGGAAGATGCCGAGATTTCTGGTCTACCCTTTGGGCCCCAGCGTTCAGAAGGTAGGTTGTGACCATTTATCTTTTAGGCGCAGGCATGCTTGTGATAGCTTCTGGCAAGTAAAAAAACAAACAAACCAGGGTTGCTTTGGTGATCCCCTTGAACAGGAGGCTGGACAACCTTGCTAGGGCCAAAAACCTTGCTTGTCCATTTTGAGGAGGTGGCCTTATTTGGGTTTGAAAGAGAGTGGCGTTCGCCCTGAAGGCAATCGGCTACTTGCTTTGGGAAAACCCAATGTCTTGTCCAATGCCTCAGTGCGCACAGGTGGTTGACGTGTGCACATTTCAAATCCTGCGTGCAGACTGAGTTACCCTACCACCAAAATGCCTCTTCCAAAGGAGCTCCGTGCACCTTTGCTCGGCCATGCTCAGCCCACATCCGGACTCTGTGTCATATTATTGCCAACCCAAAAACATAAACTCATGTTGGAGGAGATACCAGGTATGTGGTGGAAGGGAAACTTCAACTTGTGGCTCACCCGCGCTCGGACTCCAAGCCGCACTTCTCCCAAGGGAGTTTGGACAGCTGGTCCTTGTTCATGGGCAGCGGGATGATCTCCCATCCTGCAGTAAAATGTGTCCAAATACGGGGACACTAAAATGAGTGGCGTTCCTTTTGATCTTAAGCCAGCCTGAAATGACCGGACCGTATATTTGAGTGTCAGGTATCCTCTTCAAGGTGATAAAGCGAAACTAGGCCGCATTTTGGGGTTTCCCCCCAAAAAAAACACAAAACTTGTCGGTGTTGCTTAAAAAGGCACCTTCTCTGTGATTCCCCTTGGACGCAAGAAAGAAATTCACCAGCCCCAATCAAGGGGGCATAAAAGGCTAAGCTTGTGGGATAACCAAACAGAGACACCCGAAGGTAAGGCCGCTTCGCATCAAGCGCAATGCCCATTTTGCACGTGATAAAAATCCGAAGCCCTCCCTACGATCCATGACCATGCTTGGTAACCCGAAGGAAGCATGTGTTATGCTTAAAACTTGGTACATGTGCCATGCTCATGGTGCCCTTCATGTTCATGCCCACTAACTGCAGGGGTATGTTGACCCGATTCAACCATAGATGTTGTGGCGCTTCATACAATTTCTCGCCTCAGCGCTCTCATTGCGCCACTCCGGTTCACAATCGTCCCACCTGTCACACAGAGTGCACTGCTTGCGTAGGCGGGTCAAGCTGTCCAAACGATCTGTAGAAAATTATCGAATACCTCTCCCCAGCGTATCCTGAAACCCAATGAGGATACCGGCCATCAATGCACACCAAACGATTATGAGTATCCAATGCCCTTACAAGACATGGACTCTCTTCAACGCAAAGCTCGCCACCGCTTTCGAAGTCTCCCACAGACATAGCATACTGGACAGACAAATCATTCTGATCAATATGTGGGCTGCCGCGGAAGTTCTTCGTGATTGCCATTGCGGTGTAGTCAAATGCAGCCGCGTTTGCTGAGGCCTGCCTTAGCAAGCTATCGGCGACACTCCACAAATCGCCCAGCAAGCGATCCTCCCCCCATGACTTGGCATGTTTTGCGGCTTGAGACGCCTTCAAGGTGATGTACCCGCTGGCATGCAGGGATGGGCGGACCTGATCAAACTTGATCAAGCTCAGGACGTGCATCAGGCGTTCGACGCCAGCCTCGGGGAGCAGCGTGCCAGCGGAACGCTCCAGCGCCCGAGGCTGAGACTTCTCGTAGGCGGCGCACAGGGCGGTCACCAGCTCCGAGCGGCGTCTCTGCATGAAGCCAAGGACAAAGAACTCTGAAGGCTCCACCGGCGCCGCGGCCTCTCCAAACTCAGCCAGGCGAGCCTCCATTTGCTCCGTGGACAGCGCACTCAACTGCAATGCGAGAGGTGGCTGAGAGCCACTGGCAACAAGGTAATCTGCTGAAAGGCCGCGGCACGCACGTTCCGACTCCCGAAGGTCAACCTCGCCCAAGCCGAGTGAGGGGAAGTGCTCTGGCTTTCGGGAGGCCACAAAGACCATCCCAGTGTTCCCTCGTTTCTTGCCGCGCTTGTCCGTCAAAACCGCATGGCCTGTCGCGTCAAAATCCGGCATGTGCCCTCGGATGGACAACTTGAAGCCAAGCGCCTCCAAGTGCGATCGACATTCTTCCCAGCAGCTGCGCTGCGTGTTGTGCGTCCAGTCCCATTCAACAACCATGCAGCGAACGGTCAAAAAGTCATGGACAGAAGTGAGAAAACGCTCGGCGCCTTCAGCATCAATCTTCACGACCGTTGGCGTATGAGTCAGAATCAGATCTTGAAGCGCCAAAGACTGCACCAACAGCGCGTTTTCTGCATGAGCACGAGTGGCAAACAAAGAGGAGAAAAATAGGCGCGATGGATTGTTGGTGCCTTGATGCGCGTACAACTGACGTTCTCCTGGCACGTCAGATACAGCTACGTTCACCAGAATAGCCCTGGAGCAGTTGAGGTTCTCCTCGAGCAACTTGAAGCTTACCGGGTGCGGCTCGACACATATGACCGAAACTCCCTCCGTTTGAAGCGCGAGCGCCGAAGCCAAACCCAAATGCGCCCCAATATCAAGGACAATGTCGCCTCTTGACAACAAGCATCCCTTTCCCGGCGCAAAGCCGTAGCAATTTGCATTCACTACATCCTTCATGACACTGATCTCACTTTCAGGCATCAAGAGTTCGAGCTGGTTGGAGCCCAACGAGGGGCAACAGCTTCGAACGAGCCGAGGCTCGAGCGAGTCGGCGCTAGAGAACTTCGAAAGAAGCCCAGCTTCCAAAGCCTCGAGGAACGAGCGAAGGAACTCGGAGCTGTGCTTCTTGGGGTCCCTGATGCCATCGGCGAAGGCGCCGCAATAATGCCGCCAGCCCTCTCTGGCAATCTCGCTACTTCGCTGATGGGATTTCACAGCCTCAACCAGGGCGTCATGTTCATTGGCCATGGCGGGTCAAATCGGCAAATCAGCACTCCAAGACTACCTGCCTATACCTGACTTAATGAACCCAGCGAGTGCGCTTCGTCTTGGTTTTGGCTCATGCGGCAGTCTGTGTGGATGTGTGTGTGTGTGTCGCAAAGGCTGCCTAACAATGCCAGGAAAAAAGGCAAAGGATAAGTTGCAATAATATGACCAACATCCGAGCGCTCTCCCACTCCCTCTCTCCGTGCTTGTGCGTAGGAAAGCGCACGTAAAATCTGCAGACTCAACATGAGCTACCTGCTTCCGGCCTGCGGCCTCATCGTTTGAGCCAGGCGATGAGAACGCATTCAGATCCCGGCGTCAAACTTCAGCGAAGCGGTTCGCTACACCAAATCATGCTCACCCACGAATTCACGAAAATGCAACCAGTACAACTTGAAGCAAAGGTGCTCTTTGAGCAGAGCGAAAACTGCTTGAAGCCCAAAAACGAAACGGAAACACATTATGTTCCTTGCGTAGGCAACGTCGAAATGGCAATCTAAGCAGCCAGAAAAACGTGCATCCAGGCAAGATGCTGCAACAGCGATGCGTTGGAAGTGTCAAAATAGCAAGCCTAAACAAGCGTCAAGTCATGCGCCCAGGCAATGTGTGACGGCAGCAGGTGGCAAAAGGTCCACCATACAAACAACCGGCAAATGTGTATCTCAAAATCCCTTATCCCTCTATACCAACCCTTCGGTCTCCTGAGGTCCCGAACCAACCCTACCCTCAAACCATCACTGTGGTAAACCAACCCTTCGGTTTCCTAGACCAACCCTACCCTCAAAATCACAGTTTGGACAAAGGCCAAGGCCTCCGGCCAAAACAAACACCGCGGCGTCGCCGCTCCCAGACCCCGCAGCGATGCGTCGCGCCGAGGCGCCCAGCACGGCGCGGGCCGGCCCGGTGAAGGGCGAGCCCAGCGCCACGCTGCTCGGGCCCACCAGGCCCTGGACGGAGGGGCGAGATCTTCCCAACGGAACACGTTCAGCTGGGGGGTGGTTTTCGGATTGGTTTGGATTGGTGGTTTTGGATTGGTTTGGATTGGTGGTTTTCGGATTGGTTTGGATTGGTGGTTTTGGATTGGTTTGGATTGGTTTGGATTGGTTTGGATTGGATTGGTGGTTTAGGATTGGCTTGGATTGGTGGTGTTGGATTGGTTTGGATTGGTTTGGATTGGTGGTTTAGGATTGGCTTGGATTCGTGGTTTTGGATTGGTTTGGATTGGTTTGGATTGGTGGTTTTCGGATTGGCTTGGATTGGTGGTTTTGGATTGGCTTGGATTGGTTTGCATTGGTGGTTTAGGATTGGCTTGGATTGGTGGTTTTGGATTGTTTTGGATTGGTTTGGATTGGTGGTTTAGGATTGGCTTGGATTGGTGGTTTTGGACTGGTTTGGATTGGTTTTGGATTGGTTTGGTGGTTAAAAGCTGGTTTTCCAATCTACCCTCCAAGATGGCCAATCCAAACCAATTCGGGGTTACCATGTGGCTGTGGCTCCAAAAAATGGGAATCCCCCAGATTGGGCGTGGGACATGGAAAAGACCACAACCTGGGTACACCCAGCTCTTGATTTTTGAGCCACACCAGTGTGTTTGTGTTTGTGTGTGTATGATACTTGCAGGCAAAAGCGGCTCGGCAAAATCGAAGGAGTTCCGCAAGCAGCGCCCAAGGGCAACTCGCCTTAAACAACTCACCTCAAATGGGGAAATATAGAACTTCCGCGGGTGTTTCGCAGTACATAATTTTCAGCGCTTACTTCCGCGTCCTGCGGCGTACGTTCCGCAAGTTTTGCTTGCGCGGGTATTGACGCAGAAAGGAAGTATGCCTAGTAAGAAACAAAGCGTCCGCGAACTTTCCGCGAAAGGTTCGAGTCCCTTCCGAAAAACCTTCCGCGCGTGTGGCGCGCTTTTAACATCAAGAATACAAAGTGCCCCTCTCCCCACGACTTTCAACTTGCCAAGAAAATAAACCTGCAGCTCAATCGCTGCGGCCTTCCTCTCCGAGCAGAGCTGGGGCCCGAAGTTCACGCGGCCCATCTGCTCTACGAGGACCTCCAGCTCGCAGCCCTCCTGACAGGTGGTGCCTAGATGCCAAGAAAAGTATAAGCTTGTACCTTATATGTCAAGAAAAGTATAAGAAAACATATGCCAAGAAAAGTGAGTATTTGGCGAATGTCACTGTACAAACTCCGGCAGCTAGTTTCTAGGATCGTAACGCAGAGTATACCTCTTAATGCAAGTATACAGCCTCCATACCTCCCAAAAAACACATGATAGTGCCCTTGATGGCGGCTCTGAGTTGACCTGATTGCACCCCCAGTGCTGTTAGTCAGCCATATAGAGGAAGGGTTCTTTAGGCTTTACCATGGACAGGTCGGCTCTGAATCAAACTCAAGAAGACCACCGATGGGGGCTTCATATCCTATTTTGAGCTTCTCCGGGTGTTGAGTGGGGGGGGTTCTGAAACAAACAACCTAGAAACTCCGTTGGCGGAAATTTCCGCCCGTTTCCTCAAAGGCAGCAATTTTCGCCTGTGTTCGGAAAAGGGGATGAGGGAAAAACACCTGAGGCAGGGAAAAACGCCTTTGCCGCAACGCTACAGTTAGATGCCCACGATGCACTCAGCCCTCAATGGTTGCCAATGTTTTGGCAAGTGTCCCAACTGACGCGCGCTTCAAAGGGCGACGCCACCAAACCATTTTCGCCCAGCACGTGTTGCCAGCAAAGGCTGTGGCATGGTCTAGAGTCTCAAACGATTGTTTCCCTTGCCCGCCCGGCATGTCTCGGTGCGTCTCGGGCGTTGGCAGGCACCCTGCAGATGCATGGCAGGCTTGCAGTCAGCCATGCAATTCAAAGGATGGTCTCAAACGCTGATCACAGGGGGATGGACGCCCACTGTTTGTCGACCTGGGGAATTCCGCCCGTTTCCCGGGGAATTCCGCCCGCGCTCCGGCCCCGAAAGCTCCGCACATTGGACAAGAACACGTTGCCAAGAGCGTCCGGCGTATTGTGAAGGCCTAACACATCACCAGGCACTCCCAGAAATAAAAGAAATGCTCGCCTGTGGATATTCTCTCCCACCTGCACTTTCCAGGATCTCCAAACTTCCCCATCCATGTGGGCATCAAAGCAAGACATGGGTTGGTCAGAAAGAAAGAGATGGAAGTCCAACAAGCCAACGGCAGGGAACACCATAGAATCGCATTTCAAAGCGAAAGCAGTGCTCAGAAGTCCAAGCGAGTAGGGGCTAAGCGGTGCTTAAGGTACCTCATCGCGAACAAGCAAAAAAACGCCGGCGCCAAGTCAAAAACGCCGTCACGAGGAAAAAGGCGCCTTTTCCCAAAATGGGCGGACATTTCTGCCGGAAGGATCTTCTAGGTCTGGATTCCTTCTAGGAAAACAAAAAACATTTGGCTGCTATGTGACAACATTTACATTGGCAAGTTGAGGATCAACTGGATCAAACCTGATCCTCAAAAAAACATGACCTGGCAACCAAGAGCATGCAGAGCAACATGTCGTAGCATTTGGGTGCGTCCCTCCTGTTGGGGGACTCCCCCCCAAAAAAAGGTGGTTTCCCTCTTGGCTTCCCTTTAAAACCACAAAAAAAAACAGGTGCCCTCAAAAAAAAGAGAGACACACCCATATCGCCTCACAGGGGTTTCGGCTCGTGTCACCCCCCGCGGTTGTCGCCCCCCCCCCCCCGCGGTTGGGTGTGGGTCAAAACCAATGGGATCCCATTTTGGGGTGGGTGAATTCACCACCCATTTTAACCTATAGTGGGTGCACCACCCACTTTGATCCATTCTAGTGTGGATGGGGATGTTCACTGGGGGTACGATTTGGGTTTTGACCCATGGCCATAGACTTCTCCTGGGGCAGCTGGAACTCCCGGGCCCCCAGCTGCGTGTCGTTCCGGTAGATGGTGCCCAGCACCTGGCCTGCGGAGTGCCGGGAGCCCAGTCTACTGCTCCAAGTCGGGCGTCGTCTTTGGAGGGTAAACTGCTTGGGGTCGGCTAGGGAAGCCAAACTGAAAGCACCAACTTTGGGGCGCAGCTTTGTTGAGACAAAGCCGAATCTAGAGTATATAGTTTGGGTTGTTCAAAAGAAAATGAGCTTGAGGTTGAGGTGAGGCGCCTAAGTATTCGCTCATCAGATACCAGACAAGGTTTTAGTTGAAGGGGCGGATCCCTAATCCTTATGCGTAAGCCGAAATGGGCAGCCATTGCCTTGACGGCAAAAGGAACCAGCAATTCAACTCACTGCCTGAGTTGCCCACAAAAGTCGAAACTCTTTGCCCACCAGAATAGCTTGCCCAAGCAGTTTAAAGAAAAGAACCCCTAGATGTCCCCAGAGGCATGTCGCCCACTTACCCAATATACTGGCAACACATGTTCAAAACCAAGACAAGGCCCAAAGGAAAGGCAATTGTGAACAGCCGTCGGCTGACTTCCCAACGGATAGCCCGAGAGGCGAGAAGGTCTGACTGCTTCCCAACAATATGATAGCAGATCAAGCTGCTGTATCTCACAAAGCGGAAAGAAGGAATCCGAAAGGAAAAGGGGCACCTACGCCGATGTTTTGCGTTATCCTTGATTAGAAGACAAATCCCAGTGGCCTGTCACCAAACCACCTGTTCAAACATGCTCAAGCTGTTGCTGAAACACTTGAGATCTGTACTTCTCAGCCTGGAAACAAGAAAGCCGCGAAGGAACCCTTCACCCAGGTCGTGCAACCAAATCCTTGAGTCACCGGATTCGCATCCCCCTCACTTGAGTGCATGGGCCAACAAACAGTCTGAACTTTGTTGTTTTTGGTCCAAACCCAAGAAGTGACTGAAGTCCATGAATTCATCGAGCGAGTCCCCACGGCTTCAGACGCATTCGCCTTGGGCCATGACGCTGGCGAAGTCCCTGACCGCATCCCGGCCGATGCTCAGCGGCAGCCGGGTGGCCGGCACTGAGGTGCGGTACATCACGTAGCCATAGCCCAGGCCCACCTTGAGCGAAGTCGGGACAGACCCATGGGGGAGGGGGGGGTTGGAAGAGGGTGACCTGTTGGAATCATCCAACAAGTTCTGAAACAAGCGATTTTTATCGAAACCCGAGGAAAAGAAAAGAAGTGCACGGAGCCGCATGTACTTGTTCAAAGGAAAAACATTGCACAGCTGAGGAAAACCCACCATACAGGTGTGGGGTCTTACTGTCGCACACACCCAGTGGTCTTCAAAGCACGGCTTGGCTTGTGCCCTTGTAGGGTAACAATTTTAGCGTTGACCCCAGATGAGTCAACCTGCGCAGATTAACAGAGGATTCCTTCCAAAAATGAGTTACTTCCCGATCAAAGTCAACCAGGAGATGCTAAATGCGGAGTCAACGCGAGGACATAAACGGTCCTCGCGTTTGGGGCCCTGGGCGCGCCATTGACGGCTATGGCTTGCCAAAACCAAATTGGAGCGGGGCCTCAAACGGTTCTCCTAAAGAGGGTGGTAGGGGCCTCACATTGACCCCAGAATAATCAATCTGGCAGACTAACAAGGCCGATTTCCCCTAAAAGTGGCAACTTCCCTTCTTGCGCCCCCTTATCAATCAATCAGTTCCCTTTACAGTACCTATTATGGTCACTTGTTGGAAACATCGGGTAACAATGAAGTGTCCCAACAAATGACCAAAAAACCACGCACAACACTTTTGCAATCTAGCAAAGATTACCCGGCGCGGGGATTGGGGGTTTGGGGTACAAGGTTTCCAACGAATGACCAACAAACACACGCAAATCGCTTTACAGTGCCTACCTATGATGGTACGCGCACACACACACAAAACGCAAGTCCCCGTAGTGGCCTACCGCCTACCTCCCCTCCGCCTGCTCCGCCGCCAGGGGCACCGCGGACAGCACCCGACGCTGGGGCGCGATGGCCGGCAGCGCTTCCTGCGACACCGGAGGGTCAGCCAAACACCTGGGGTGTGTCTTTTTCCCCAGCTGCAAGCTTTGGGATCTCAGCCCAAGGCTCCGGGGTGGTCCGGGGCAGCCCTGAGGTAAGGTTCCACGAGGGTTCCACCACGGTTCCACGAAGGTTCCACGAGATTCTGCGAGGGCTGCGGGGTGGTGCGAGCACTAAAAAGAGCACCACATACTGTTGGGGACATCACCCGAGCCAATTTGTTTTTGTATTTGGGGGGGATGAGGGGGTAGTACCCCCTGTTTGCGGTTTACGAAACCAAAGGGGCAACCAAAGCCATAAGACACACCCCTTGCTTTGTCAGTAAACCGCTCTTTAAACTATACCTCCTCTGGGTGTCCCTTCAAAAAAAGGGACTGGTTGTTTGAACTTAATTTTTGACAACTGGTGCCGAGACTCGGAACCACCTTTCGTCCCCCGCCTCCAGCGACAGCGTCGCTTCCAACTCCAAGGGAGGCGACTCTGGGAGGCGCCTCGAAGCGGGGTATCGACCCCGGATTCCGAAGTGCCCTCCCAAAGTGGGAAGGATTCCCTACATGGGACACCCCCCTAGTGAGGCCCTCTGCAAATGGCAAATTCGGAAGACATGAGGCAAGACTAGGTGGAACGTGCATCGTTATCAGGGTTTCCCTTCAAGACCTTCGTTTTTTAAAGCGGGAAAGGGCCCACTAGAAGTGGACGGTTCCTCGTTACGCTATTCTTTACCCGAGAAAGGTGACGAAAGCACAATCACTTCAAACTCGGCCACCACGATGTAGTTCAATGGGTCATGACCTCATGCCACACCAAGTGAGCCCAGACTGACAAAGAAAAATGGAGGTTCAGCAGTTCCCCCAAGATGCGTTCGTGTTCATTTACCTCTGTGTGAGTTTGTGTGAGGGTGTGTATGCGTGGACGGGTGGGCGCGCATTAGGCGCACCCTTGACCATGCAGCCCAGCTGGAAGGCTCCAACGAGGGAGATAAACCCTTGCATAGCCAGTCCGGGTGCACAAAAGTCGGGAAAAGACACGCCAGACTCGAAACACTCGGGGTGTCATTCGTAAGAGAAAACAACAAATCGGTTGAGTATGTTGAACGTAAACCTCAAAAAGCATGGCAAGAACCAGCCAGTTTGTCCCAATTCAATCTTGGCCTGCTCGCTGCTTGGATAGGCCTGGGAGTGGAGGATGTTGGCCGCGAAAAACTGTGGATTGCAACCAGGCCGGAAAAAGAAGGGGATCTGGAACAAAGAGGCGGATATGGCATCTTTCCAGAAGACTCCGTTCCAGGGTGGTTGGGGATGCTAACTGGGCGTATTTGAGATGCTGTCACCTTTTTGCCCCTTTGCCCAGAAAGGTGTTGAAGAATGATGTGGATGAGGAATAGTGTCTGTCATTTCCGATTTAACATCCGGTATGTTGCAGGGCTCTTGTATTCAATAGGAAGCCGGAAAGCCCAAAGTCTCGTTGAACTGTATGTGCACATAATTCAAAAACCTGGGATAAGAAACGCAGCCAAGGAACCTGCATCATTCGATCATGAGAAACCAAATCTCTTTGTGAGCTCGATCGCTTTCCTGTGCCTAGAAATAGCGTGGTGCAAACCTCTCGGAGGAGGCTTCTTTGATATTTTCCGGCCAAGACCAGATCGTTCTGTTCAAATTCCACCCACTTTCCCAGAGTTTTGGGCCATTTCTGAAGAGGATCCCTGAATTGGGGAGGGCATGGCCAGACATTCTGGCGATTGTGCCCCCTTTCTGTGACCCCTAAAGTCGGATGCGCATGACCAACCGACCAAAGCCGTTTTTTGGTCGTGGCCCGGCCAGCGTACTACTGTGGATGGACGAAATCCGTTCGCACCACTTTGAAACCATGGTTGAAGCCATGGTTTGTCATTTACAGCATGGTCAGAAACCGGGGTTGTCTTAGGTGCGGTGTCTGGATTTCGCAACCAACTGCGTATCGCGACGCCTCGCAGGGGGGAACTTCTGCTCCAAGAGCTCCGGTCGCTTCAGGAACCGGGCCATCACCTGCCACCGGAAAGGCCCAGACTCAGTGACTGCGCCCCCGGAGGGGGGACTGAACAAAATGCGGCGTGAGTAAAACCCTACGTGCTACGAATACTGAGGTAAGCCACCTACCCAACTGGTGCGTAAATTTTGTCCATCCAAAGCTTCCAAAGCAAACCTCTGAACAAATGGTGCGTTTTGGTGTGAACAGTTGCTTCTCAACTCAAGCTTGGGATCTTGCTTTTCGGTTGGTTTCCAGTGAGTGTCAACTTAAACATTCGTCTGGAAGTGGTCCCCAACTTTTCGACCGATCTGTTAGCTTTGTGGCCCTTCACGGTCCTTGTCAAACTTTGCTGCCGCAAAGTCAGATGAAGTAGACACTCTGTTTGAGGGCAAATAAATGCTCCGCGGAACGTTCAGACTGATGCAAGTGGGTTAGTTAGGTTATCTCGTGTCCCCCCCCTTTGGGAGAGAAAATCCCAACCCGCGTCAAACAAGGTGGCAAAACAATGCTGGTTGCAACTGGGAAACCCTTGAACCTCCAGTGGTGCCTTCGTTTCCTTCTGTTCGAGTTAGAAAATCTCGAGCAACCGAGGCTTGCGGCCCCCAAGAAATCTAGCGCCTTGCGGCACTCGATGTACTTCTCAGTGATCTCGCCGGCCTCGTCCAATAGGCCCCCATAGTCGTAAGAGGTGACCTGGCGCCGGGTTTGGCTCCGAGTTTTGCCCAGAGCTCCAGTGAGCTTCGCCTGAGAAAAATGGGCACTTGCCTTTCTTGGTAGTTGATTCTGAAGAGAAGGCCCCCGACCAATAGAAGGAAAGAGCACGACTGCAGGCTGGGTTTCAGCGCAGCGGTTTCCCAGTTGCAACCAGGGTCCTTTTGCCTCGTAAAGAACAGGTTTGGGATCCCAAAGGAAAATTATGTAAATGCCGAGTGGCTGATGGAAAATGTCAATGGCAAGTGTGCCAACTGCACCTGTGGCTTTGTGTTGTCAATGGATTCTGGCAATATAAGCTCTAATTTGACTTGTCAAAGGTTATGTAATGATCTACCCCATACGAAGGGTAATGTCATTGCTTTCTGTTCTTCGTGCAGTCGGTGTTTCAGTGACAAAATAACATACTAATATTTACAATATATAGTTTATATGAGTGACAAAGACAAGATTATCAGTGATATCTACTACGATCGGGCTGGGTTCGGTAGCGTTGCCACCACTTATAAAGATGCCAAAATACAAGATGCAACAATAACCATGCAAGATGTTAAGGAGTGGTTTCAAGAGAACGTGGAAAGGAAAAAACAATTGTCTGGATACAATTCATTCATTGCACTGAATGCCGAGTTTGAATACCAACTTGATTTATTGTGTATTTCCAAAAATTATTTAGAAACTCAAGCATTTTAGAATAGGTTTAGTTCTCATTGATGTATTTTCCCGTAAAGCCGTAGTGGTGCCTATCATGTCTAAGCAACCTGCCGACATCACTGCTGGGATCATGGAGGGTTTGAAAAAACTCGGGAAACCCCAACTAATTTACTCTGATGATGAAGGGAGTCTGAACAATCAGGTTCTTGTTGATTTTTCAAGGATCAAAAAGAAAGAATTACAAAACAAGAGGGCACCCTCATTTTGTTGAGCGTTTCACTCGCACATTCAAGGACATGTTTTTTAAAAGGGTTGATGCAGACGAGAAAAAGGGAAAGGTTAATATACAATGGGTTGATTACATCCCCGAGATCATGCTTACATATAACAGTAAAATGGTCCATTCTGCACATGACATGACCCCAAACGATGCCCGCAAAAAAGAGATTTCCGGGAAAGAAAGAACGAGTAATTGGAGCAGTGTCAAATACAAGGTTTCAAGGGTTGAAAAAAACCTTGGTCAAGATTATTATTCTGTTGAGGGGATGTCACGCCCTTACCTGCGAAGGGAAATATTGAAGGTTTAACCTTGGAACAATGCAACCCCTGACATTCAGCCAGGAGTCACAGACCTGAAGCAAAGAATCCTGGTTTTGACACCTGCATGATGACTCACTTTTCAGCCGGGCGCTCCAATGCACAAAGCTCTTTCTGCTAGTAGCACTTTGACAAGTGTGCTAGGAGACCTGATTTATTGGTCGCAAGCCCGGACGTATCTAAGAAATTGCAACTGGCAACTAGCCGTAAACCTATCTTCCCCAAACTTAAACACCTGGTCTTGCGAAACCCCTCGCCACATGAACAGTAACAGAGCTGAAGAAAAAGTGCACCAAGAACAGCCCAGCGACGGTTTGGGCATGTACCAAAATCGGGGGACCCGCAAAATTCAGATTGCCTGCAATTGGGGGTTTGGATTTGTCGTTTGGTTGTTAGGGTGGAGAGCGCCCAATAAGAGCGAAAATGTTCACCAAGAGCAGGGAAACTGGAAACAACTAAGAACTGAAAAATAGGAACTAAGAACTAGTAGCCGTAGCAGTAGTAGTAGTAGTAGTAGTAGCAGCAGCAGCAGCAGTAGTAGTAGTGGTAGCAGTCATAGCAGTACTAGTAGCACTTGTAACAGTAGTACTAGTAGCAGTAGTAGTAGTAGTAAGTGCTAGTACTAGTCGTAATAATGCTACTAGCAATAGTACTCGCAATAATGTGGTAGAGGACTCTAGTATCCCCATGCATACGAGTAGGTTGCTTCCGCGCAAGGAAAATATTCATGAATATTCATGATATCTGCCTCACAGCCCAAAGTCCCAGAATGTCCCAGGGTTCATTTCTTTTTGCTTCCCATTGCTTTGGCCAGAGACCCACACACTTTGTCGTTTTCTGGACGCGGCAGGGCGAGCACATGAAACGAAGCAGTCTCAAGACGAATTGGACCTCGTCAGGCAACCGACACGCTTCCCCGCCAACCCCTCTCCCCGGCGAAAGAGTTCCTCAAAATCGCACAAGTGGGGGCTCCCTGACTTTTAGCGATGATCTGATGCCAAAGCATCTGACATCATCTGGCTACCTATGGCTACCTCCTCGTGGGCCGAGGTGCTCCCTTCCGCATGTGGCGAGCGGGGAACAGGCCCCAAGAATTTTTGGCCACCACGGACTGCAGCGGCACAACCTTGGTCAAGCCACGTTGAGCCGGTACGCCGCGTTACGCAATGCTGGGGTCTTCACCGAGCCTATCCAAGCCTATTTCTAGCAGATTCTAGCAGTTGTTATCCCACCACATCCCACCACCCACGGGGCCAGTCTGGGCCCCTGATCTGAATGCATGGACAGGCAGCCCTGTCGTCGCACAACTTCGCCAATTTGAGGGCATATGGCAAGCGTCGGTCATCATACGCTGCGCTGGCAGCTTCCGGCTCTGCCGAGCTCAGGCATGGGGCCGCGCGCACCGGAAGTGGGTGGACCGTGCCGGTGATGTCCAGTGCTGCCGCGGGCTTCCGTTGGCTGGAGGCTCCTGGTCCGAGTGCGAATCTGCGTCACGTTCGCAACAACTTTGCGAATCTGCATGAATCTGCGGTAATCTGCGTCTTTCCACATACCTGGGACATCAGCACTCGATGCCCCACTGCGAATCACACGCTGGACAAATTTTGACCAACATTTGCAGGCGTGTGCCATCTTTTCCGTCTCCGTGTAGTGTGAACCCCAAACCAAGGAGCCAATAAACACCCACAGCCACCAGCTTCCGGGCTAAGGTTTGACATGAAGTGACATGACCTCAGCCGAGGTGCGAGTGCGCGTCAGAACAAAGTTGCAGTGGTGCACCCTGGCCGATGGGCAGGTACTCCGCCAAGCCCGTGCTGCTCGCCACCAGCTCTGCCAGCCTGTCATCAGTGTCGCTCGTCCGAGCTGTCAATGACCTCTGGCTGCCCTGCCGCGCTGCCACCGTGAAGTCTTGAGCCTTCCTCCGGGACGACAAATGACGTTGGACGATCAATACCTCTCAGCCATCTGCGAGCCCAGCCATTGAGCCTCCCCACCCAGCTCGCGGATCTGCTCCCCGATCGCCTCCACCAGGCTAACGCCAAACTGCAGCTCGATGATGGCATCTCCCTTGCTCACGGGCGTGGCGCCACAGCTCGCCATGAGCCCCACCTGCGGAGCCCACGTGAACGGAAAAAATGGCCTCTGAGATCCTCTGAGCAAAAAGCACCGAAATGTGGTCGTTGATCGTCGTTGTTTCGTCAAAGGTCGTGTTTGGGAAAGGTGCCCATCTAAGATTTCCGGACCTTTCCGGCTTCTTCCGCTTCCGCCCAGCAAAAGGGTTTTCCGCCCTAGCTTGGCCGTCCAAGATGCACTTTACCCCCGTAAGTCTAAAACATGTTGACAACTGTTGACATCTGGAGAGAATCCATGAAAAGCCGTTTCAATCCGTTTCACATCGTTTCACCAAAAAACATGCGTCTCTCAAGGAGACCGAAAAGAGACAAATTAATGGCTTCTCCAAGACTGTGGTGTTCACGCGGTGCTTCTCTGACCTTTTTAACTCAAGCATTTCGTCTGCATTGCATGTCTATATATCAACGTGAGCTACCTGTCATCTTGCTCTCAAATTCCTCGCAGCGAACGCAACACAAATGCCACTTCTCCGACTTGCCGGACCACCCGCAATTCCTGCAATCAGGCCCACAAACAGGGAAGTCCCGCATTGCCAGTTTTGGCTTTTCACCTTCTTTGAGTGGCTTGAGCAGGTTCGTGTCTGGGCATGTTGTCCTTGAATCTCCCCTGTGTGGAGAGCACTTTCACTTCATCTCCACCTTTGTAGCGGAGAAGGCTGTCCACATCGGGATGGTAAAAAGTGGCAGGCATGAAGCAACCGAGAGGCAAACTGTCAATTGCCATAGTCTTGGATTCCTCATCCTCAATGGGTTTGGGCTGATCTTGAACGTTCTTGCAGTCAATAATGATGTTGGTGGGTTTCTTGTCGTCATGGCTCTCCATCAGTTGAAGGGTAAAATTGCCTTTGCTGCTGGTCGCCTTTTTCGAAAAGAGATGCACCACTGCTCAAAAACAGCCCCAGCCGCGCCAATGTTGATCCGCAGAAGCCTGTCATACAACTGTTTCAATTGGTGAAACTGGTGGACTCATTTTTTGACGCACTGGATCACATAGTCAGATCGGGGCAGGGTTTTCGCATTAGCGACACCATTCTTGAAGGAATGTTTGTCCTAGACTCTGGGTAGAATGCCAACAAACTAGTTCGCTGCTTGTGAGCACCACTGGATGTTGGACACTCCAGATTCAAAAGTCTTTCCATTTCATCTGGCTCCATGTTCTTGACAGTGTTGTGAATGTGAGTCTTGTCCTTGTTCTCTTTGAAAAGGCATCTCACAGAACCACCGCTGACTGTGTAAACATCAGGCGAGGGAGCCGAACCTTTTGCCTGCGCTTCCATTGTTTCACGCAGTGCGTCAAACTCCTGCTTCGTCCATCTCCAAAGCACTAGTGTGTGCCGCTCGACTGTGACTGCTAACTTGCCCAAAATAACCTGCTCTCCATGCAGAATGCAACGCCATGAAATTGATGTTGGGGAAGTGCTGTATGTCCTCCAAAAGCTTGCGCATATTTCTGAACAGTTTCCACAATTTGAAAGGATAGGTCGCCCACATCTAGGATGCAAACTTTGCAGTTGAAGTTCTTGATGAGCTGCTCAAACATTGAATAGTCCGTGAACTTCTGGGCACTCTTATAGGTGTCTTCTCTGACAAATTTGAAACCGCACTCACAGCGCCGCCTCGGAATGTCAGATGCAAGGTGTGTATCTTCTGCTGGTGCAAACTGTAGGCGACAAGCCACCCGCACCAAGCCTTGCCAGTGCCGGGACAACCCACCAGAGAAACCAAGCGCACATCTCCCCCTTTCAATGCATCACTGCAAACTTGCGCACATCCAGAAGCTTTGGAACCGCGATCTTTTGTGCTTCAGCTTCTGGAAAAGTCCATGTGAGGATGCCGCGACTGCATAGGGAAGCACAGTGTATTTGACACCATCTTGCAATGCACTGAACAGTGGGGCTACATACACATCCTCGCGTCGCAACTCAAACGTGTCAGTTGATGCCAAGCGCATCGTTGTTGCAATTATGCTGCTTGGAGAATTCCTTCCTGATCTCAACCGTCTTGACCTCCACACCTTCTCGAGTAACTTTGACTTTCTTGAGGGGTGGCTCCGTCATGGCAAGGGCTGAAACTACCTCCTGACAACTGACTTGACTGAAAATGGCACCATCAAAACGCTGTTGAACCGCAGTTTGGCTGTTACAACTACAGCTGTTGCAATTACAACGTCAGATTTTGCAATTCCAACAGCAAATTTGGCAGTTCCAACCGCTGAGTCTTCCAAATGCCAACTTGGTTTTTCCAAATGCCAACTTGAGTTTTCCAAATGCCAACTTGGGGTTTGTCACTGGCATCAGCGTGGGGTTGCGGATAGTATTTAAATCGTGTGTTAGCCTCGTTTCCATCCACATTTTGCCATCCAATGTCACACAGATTATTTTCTTGATTTGGGTTAACGGTTAGAATATTCCCTGTTCGAATGGTTAACCACTTTTTGGGGGTGAACATAGGGTTGTTTTTTAGACTGTTCGTATTTGTTGGAAATGGGTAAGGGTGTCAAGTTGGAACAATGAAGACATTATTGAGATTTTGCTTGGAATTTCCGGGTGGGATTTGTTGAGGTGGTATGTAGTTCTGATTGTTGTTATTGAACGAGTGTAGGGATGATGTTGAGATGGGGTAATAAATGAAGATGGGTATGATAATATGTGTTTTTTGGTGTTGGATTGGTTGAGTGATTGGATTTGAAGTTTGAAAATGGGTTTTTTAGTGGGTGCATTCAGAATGATCCAGAAAGTGTGGGGGGGCACCCTATGACCGGATGGCAAAATGTGGATGAACTAGGCCCAGTCGAACTAAAGCTTCCCCACAAAAGAGAAGCCGGACGCCGACCCCAACCGTTCCCACCCCCCCCCCCCCCGCCTGTGGCTCGTAGGTGCCCACCGCCGACAAGTTCCCCCCGGGCCCGCAGAAGCCGAAGGAGGTGCCGCCGTGGAAGACGAAGAAATTCACCGAGCCCCCCTGGTCCAAGGTGCCCTGAGAGCTCGCCAAAGAGGAGCCGAGGACCGGCCGCCGGCTCAAAGGGAGGAGTCAGTTAAAGTAACCCACGAAAACATGGGAAAAAGTAGGGGGCACACTTCTAGAGAGAGGTGGGCACACTTCCAGAGACAAGGGTCCCGTTGAATTCGACGGCGAGAGCAGACGGCACAACTCCCGGTAGATGTGGGAAAGTAAAGGGGATTACTAAAGCAAAATGGTGGAATTGTGCCATCTGCTGTCACCCAACCACCGAAAACGGGGTTATAGAACCAACTGTTTAGACACTAAAACTCCTGAATTCCATGGAAGACCACACCCCCAAAACAAACTTTCCCTCATCGACCCATCTGGTTGCCTGCCACTGCACCCCAACGGAAGTTTTTGGCAGGAAACCCCTGCCCACTCCAAGTGAGGAAGGCTTTGCTGCCAAAGGCCTGCACTCTTTGTTTACCACACAGGTCGCAATCAAACCACCAAAAAAGCTGCTGGTTTTAGTCCATACTTTCATACATACCAGGATTCCATTTGGGGGTTGGCCTAATTTTGACCACAGCCACATGGTACCTGAAGTGATCAAAGTCCTGGAGACCTAGGGCTGGAAGCCTGGGTCTGGACGGGCTTCACTGCCATCCGAAAGCTTCAAATACACATTCCAGTTTTGCAGAATTTGTACCAATTCATAACCTTGGGATCCTTGGGACAGTCTCCCATGTTTGAGATGTGTTGATAGTCTGAGGGTCCAGGTACGCCCTGCTTCAAGCACCCGCATCGTTGAGTTTGTATTTGGAAGCCAGTTCTCCACAAACAAATGGCTTTGGTTCTCCTGTGGGGTTCCCTGCAACCAAAGCGACAGAGAGCTTTCCCGTGGGACAAAATTCGTCCATGGTGTGCCTTCGTTAGAACGGGAAAGAAGACAATCCCTCCCAACAAAAATGCAGTTATCCTTTTGATTCTTGATTTCCCTTATTTCACTAATTCAGGGAAACAGCGATAACCCCTCCCAAGCAAAATGTGGCTTTCTTTTTGGCTTCCCATTTTCCCCCCTGCCAAGCCCAAGAGGAAACAACGCCGCCCGCCGAAAAACCTGGTTTTCCTTTTCCCTTATTTCTCTTCTACTCCCACGCCCCTTCGGTTGCCCTTATTTCCCGCTGGAACTCGCTGAAAGGGACAACCCTCCCCCAACACAAATGTTGCTTTTCATTGGCTTCCGGTACTTTCCGTTTCCACCCAAAAAAGGAACACCCCTCCCAACACAAACGCGGTTTTCCTTTGGTGTCCCTTGTTTTCCATTTACACTCAGTGAAGGAGGGCTCTGAACCTCCAACAAACACCGACACACACACACACACACAGACACACAGAACCCCCCCTCCTGCAGCGTCTGGGCCACGTCCTCTGCGTCACGGTAGCTCTTGCCCGTGAAGGCGCCCCAGAAGTCGAACCAGCCTCTCGCGGAGGATTCGCCACATGTAGGGCAAATATCGATACCCCAAATGGAATCCTGGTATATGGAAACAAGAACTAAATTCTGCGGTCCCCTGGTGGTTTAACTTTGACCCATACCCATACGGTGCTGTGGTTGGTTGTATGTTGTATGGTGGCTATGGCTGATTAAAGAACGGGTCCCGCTGAACAGTCGCAGGCTCCAGAATAAAGATTCGGCCCTTAGCTTCCCCTTTCCTTTCCTATTGGCTACTTTGCCTTCAAAACTGCATCTGAGCAAAACTTTCAAATTGATTTCCCTATTAGGCAGGCTTTGCCTTTAAAAAAGGCATTTAGGTGAAGCTGTCAAAATCCACTCAGTTTTTTTCAGCGTTGAGTGCCAACTGTAGTCTTCAGGCCTCAACATCCATTCAGATTTGTTGCAGTGTTGGCAGTTGTTCGTGCCAACTGGAGCCTTCAAGTTGGATTTGTTTTCTTTTTATCAAATGTTGGATGTCTGCTTTTGGTTATTGGCTGATTGTTTTGCTGTGTTCTCTTCAACTCAAAATTGAGTGTGACTTTCTTGCCACGTAGAAAAAGGACACAAGCGTGCAGTATTCTGAACTCCTTTGCTTATCACGCACCAACAATACATGATGACCTAATCGATAACTATAGTGGCTATATAGCGGTTGTACAACCCCTGCAACCCTGGTCGGAATCAGGAATATGTGCTTTTAAGGGGTGGGTTTGATGGTTCTCTACCTGGATGTAATTGTTTTCTGAGGAACAAAAACATCCGCATTGTTCTTACAAGAACATCGAAATACAGAATAAGGGATGCCCAATAAAGGAGCTACATCATGGCCAGCTCGTTTTACGCCCAGGCGAGCATAAAATAAGCGGACACATTCATGAAACCCCCATTCAATGGGGGTTTCATGGCCCCATTGGTTGGTTGGGCATCGCTACGTGTCCCCTTGTTGAATCAAAGAGTATAGCGGCTCATTGCATGGGACTCTTGGCCTCAATGAACAGAGGGCAAAATCCCTGTCCTATTCGCGTGGCTTTTGATTGGCGGCCTTGTCCCCTCTTTCGGGTCGATCTATCAAACCATCGGGGTTGGGTGTCGGATTTTTAGGGTTGGTACGTGTTGTTTGGTGGTTCAATTGGAGGCCAAGAGGAATCCAACCATTCTGGGCAGGTCCCCTAAAAAACACACATCCATGTCGTTGTTTCCAGTTGTTCCTTTACCAGTGGAATCCATCGATTTGAAAACGGACGCCATTTCAACAACCCAAAAGCTGGTAGAGGTTCCCTATGGGCTCCATCTTTTTGGAAACCAGGTTTGCAGCGGACTTTAACACAGTCGTGACCAAAGAAGGAGTGTGTCTTCAAGCCCACGCGCACTATGAGTTGCCCACCCAACGGTGTTGCTTGTTCAAAGGGTTCCAACAGTTTGACTTGTTCTCAAGGATAGAGTACCAGCATTGAACGCCTTGTTTCCCATGTACAAAATACACAACGTCCACCAAGGTAGCTCTAGAAACCTACCACTCTCTCAAGTTATTCCCCGCCACGCAGCCTCCTTAACACTTCAGGCCTTCAGGTCGGCCCCCCGGAGATGCAACGCAGGAAACCAGAGCTGGGCTGACCATTCACGGAAAGAACCAACATCAACCACCAACCGAGAACCTTTCTGAAACCTGATCTAGGATTCCCAGACCCAAAAATGGTAGCCGCTTCTAGGTCTTACTGTTTTACGAATCAACCGCCACCGGACCAACATCTGGCAATTCTTTGTAAACCAAACCACAACCAACCCAATCCACCTCCTCAACATCAATCCAAGTCTCTGCTTTCTTCCATATGAAACACACAAACCATCCACAACCACAAGTCTCTGTTGTCGTTGCTCTTTATGTACAAACCACAAAACCACCCCCCCCCTTTCCTCCCCACAGCCCGCCGGGTTTTTGCCGCTTTTGGGGTCCGGGCCGACCCAGAACTCCATGACGCACAGCGGGCCGCTGGGCTGCGCGTCCCGGAGCTCCGCGAAGCGCTGCGAGGGCTCCGAGCCGAAGTTGGCGGTGCGCAGCGCGCCCTCCACGCCCCCGTTGGCCTGGCCCGTCGATAACCCCCCGGGCGGCGGGGGGGGGGGGGGGGGGGGGGGGGGGGGGGGGGGGGGGGGGGGGGGGGGGGGGGGGGGGGGGGGGGGGGGGACTCCGAGGAATTTGCGGTGGTCGTGAGACCCCAACGTGGCGCCGTAATGAGACCAAAGACGAGAACTTGCGGCGGGCCCTAGCTGTTGAATTTTGAGCCATGACATGGCTGTGCGTGAAACATAGGGTGTACCCCAAATGGGTACTATGGGTACCCAAGGTAAATGGAATTCAAGGACGGAGGTGGTTGATTTTTGTTGACACGGGCCCAAATGAAAACGTGTGCGAGGGCTGAAATGAGGCTAACAACAGAACAACCAGGCTTGAAGAGGCGCATGCGAACTAAGAAAAAACAAGCCACCCATACATGTTGCTTCCGTCTCGCATCTCGCCTGCAGGTCTGGCCAGAAGGTGCCGTCGCTGGTGAACAGCAAAGGGCACCTGTGGTACCCGAGACCAGCGAGAGTGCCTGTTTCATAACCAAATGGGTCAGGGAACCCCACCAAATGGCGGGTGCTCTTTTTGGCTTCCCTTTACAACCGCCACGAAAGGGGTATCCTCAAAAACAAACTGACCCAAATGGTGCTTCGACCCCCCCCCCCTCCAACCTCGCCCAACCACCCCTTGCCCAGTTCCCCCATATTGACCCCCCCCAAGAAGCCAGCAAGAAGGGGGAGTTGAATCCTACCGTTGTTTGATTGCTGAAAGCTTAAAGGGAAACCAAGCCCACACAGGTTAAAAGAACAGCAACAAATATTGGGGCCTCTCAACTTCACAAGGAATCCATCAATCAGAAAGCTGAACAAAGAAAATCAAACCCAGCACGCACCAAAAAGAAAACCTACCCAAGATACCAACTTCTGAACAAAACACACGGAAAAGCGTCACCAAACACAAGCTGAAGAAAAGTACAGACATACCCATCGGTTCCCAGTTACCACCCAGAAATGTCAATTTGGTTTGCAAAGGTTCTGTTGGCCACCTGCTCACTTCCGATCGAGTGGATTGGCTAAAACAACTCCAAACTGTTTGTTTTCCGCTAAGATGCTCTTCCAAAAAATATAAAGTCCAGCAACTCAGGGAGTGAGACTATGTGGGGAATTTGAATTATTCTACGATATTCCCGCTCGAGCACTGGTCCCCGAAGAAGTTGTTCAGCATCGCCCTGAGCTTCTCCAAGTAGGTCCGGTCCGTGCCCCAGTACCCATATTCGTTCTCCACCTGACACGGGTCATTGGATGAACAAAATCCAGATGGATGAAACCCTTAAGAGATTGGGTGGGTGGGTGGGTGGGCGGGCGGGCGGGCGGGCGGGCGGGTGGGCCCTAAAACTACAATTTTTGCGCAGCCAATTAGTGGATTGTGTCCATCAACACGTTGTCCACATTGGGGAATAACAGAATTCTCTTGGCTTGTTCCTTCTCTTGGTGGCCCCGGCGCAAGAAGGTAATTTGCTGGTGAGTGCTTGAACACTTAAAACATGTCTGAGCAAACAATAAAGGGTTGCATTGGTCCAAAGAGCAAGCTGCTATCCTGAAGACTGGCCAGGCTACTATTGACCCAGGAAATAAAGGCATGCGCTCGTTCGGGCTTCTACACCGTAGTCCTACAACATTGGGACTTATCTGAGGATATTACCCACTCAAGTGGGGGTGGTTGTCCCACGCGGACAAACACCCACCAACAACAAGCCCCCCCCTTAATAAAAAGTGGGACAAGCCCCCCCTGAATAAGAAGTGGGGGTTTCTTCAAGCGATTCCTCTGAGACATTCACCAGGCCATGCGTCAAAATCCCGTACTTCCAGTGAACCTCCAATCCCCGTGGTGCACCTACCCCAAAATGGTACCATTGGTCTTGACCCACAGCCACCACTTCTCTCGGGGCCAGAGGGGCCGAGTCGCCTGCATGGCCACCACCGGCCCCCCGTTGGCCGCCAGGAAGGGCTGCACCCGCGGCAGAAGCTCACCGCACCACCACCTCGGCGGCTCGTCGGCTCGGCCCACGGTCCATGGCCGATGGTCCGGTTACCCGGGGGGGTTGGGGGGGGGTGCCGTCGTCTTCTGGGGGAACCCGCCCCCCTAAAAAAGCGACTGGGGGTGGTCCGGATGGGATTTCCCGTTAAAAACCACAAAAAACAAGGCGCCCGGAAAAAAGCCACCCTGAAATGGTGCTTCGACCCCCTTTTGGTTGGTACTTGATTGGGAAGAAGAGGAAACCAGGCATTTTAGGGGGCCCGACTCATTCGACTTATTTTGAGAAACCTCAGAATACCATGGAACAAACTTGGAGATGGGGAAAGCCCAAAGCACCACTTTTGGAAAGATGGTGCAAGTGGGAAAGTGGTTTTGCGGCTTTTCTTACCTCCCCACACCTTCCTTAAATCTGTGTTTTGTCAACCAGTAATCATCCCTTTTCTGAATGCCGAGCCTACTAAGCCCTACCCCCTTAATTTTGATGATCAACCTGCATTTCCCAGTGGTCATGTTGAGAGCGGATTTATAAACCTCATGGACAATTATGGAGATGTTCCTTCTAAAGGAAAAATCCCTCGAAATTGGGGCACCCCTATTACATCAACCAGGTTCATTCATCCTGGGTTCCTGCTGTTTGTCACCGCCACAGTTACCGCCACCGCCACCGCCACCAACACCACCAACACCAGCACCACCTGCACCACCAGCACCACCTAGCAGGTACTCAAATAGAGACTACTTAGGGCCTCTGACCCCCAAATTCTTTGAGCGGTTTCCTCAACCAGCCCAGGTATGAATGCACTGGCGCTAACATGCGGGACCATTACCATTGTTTAGTTTGTCTTTTTAATTGTTTTTGCTTTTAACACCCAGTGATTCGGTGATACCCTTTTTCGTTTGTTGAGACTAAAAACTATCCCGGTGATTCGGTAATGCCCTTTTTAGTTGAGGGTTAACAACAACACCCAGTGATTTTGTGATACCCTTTTTCGATTGTTGAGACCAAAACAACTCCCAGTGATTCGGTGATGCCCTTTTTCGTTGAGGGTTAGCAAAAACACCCAGTGATTCGGTGATGCCCTTTCTCGTTTGTTGAGCGGCAAAACACTTTTCGAGTCGGGGACATGAATCAAAACGTTGGTTCCTCAAAAGGGACAAACCCTTTCCCCCTCCTTGCTTGTCGCCCACTTGTCCAGAAGAAAGGCAGCCACAAAAGATATGGACACGTGCTGATGGTTCCCACTTCCCTGCTTTGCAAGCCATGTTAAGCTCACTCCAGTTTCTCGTCGGAACATGTTTGTGTGTGTATTTCTTTTGAGGGTACCCTTTTCAGGTTGGTCACATTTTGTTGGACTCCTACCCCTCATGTCTTGCGCAACCCATTTCATTTGTGCCTTCGCGGATCCAAGCCGCCCCTTAGAGTTGACATACTAAAATGGATCCAGACATTTCACTTGTCGGGGCCAGTGAAAGCAGAGGTTTTAAAATGAGCAACGGGCAAAATTTACTGTAGTGAAGGGAATGTTTCATGGGTCACTCTCACCAATCATGTGCGTCACTGATTCGCAGAAGGGGGGACCCCAAAAAAAGAACCACGGACAACAAAACGCATGCCACATAGCTGCAAACAAAAGAAACGACAATCACCCAGTAAGTAAGTGTGCGTGTGTGCGCCACAAACAGCAGGTTTCTCCTTTGGACGGTTGCTGAGTGTACCTAAGATAATGGATTCTAACTTTGGTGGCACACGGTTTTCCAGACCTCCGGTGGATTTCCAAGGGGACAAAAGGCAAGAAAGTGAGCCCCCCTTTGTTAGGTTGAGTTTGAGGCCCCTCCAAAAACATGCAAAGACAAAATAAGACCTTGAGCTTAAAATCACGTCAAAACATCAGGCACCACTGCAAGTCTGGGCTCAAACCACAAGCACAAATGGGTATGGGTTCAGCCTTCCCCCCAAAGTGGTGGGCTACCCCGTAAAACCAGCAAAAGGGGTACCCTCGAAAAACAGATTGACATAGAGCCCACAATTGCCTTAGGCCGGCAAATAGAAAAAAACACCAGCTGCAACTTCTGCGTGAACGTTGGTCCCAAGTCACCGCTCCACCGCCTTGAGGAAATCCGGGTCTGAGGACCTGCCGGCTTCCGAGGACCCTGTTTGGGTTGGTTCGTGGCCCCAAAGAAAGTGAGCATCCGCGGATAGAAGACAAATCTAAAACCAGAACATCTGAATCAAGCCACGCGGAAGCTGAAAACCCTAGAATGAGAATGGGATCCCGAGCAAAGGAGCTACATCAAAGTGACCCGTTTTTCACCTCATGTTCAGAGCGCACCGAACATAGGCACATTGGAATTGGGTTGTGGGGCAGGATTGGGCCATCCCTTGTTGGAGCATGTCTATATAACCCGATTTTGTTACATTGTTACGCAGCCTTGTTCTTGACTTGCGTAAAATCCATTCAACACCTCCCAGGGAAGATACCCAGAAAATGCCAGCATAAGATTGAATTGGAACCCTTCCCCATTCTTCCCCAATAAACATCAATGAACCCTTTCTAGGGCCCCGTGCATGTTTCCTAGAAGACTTGTTAAAGGTCCCCACCCCCCACCCCCACCCCCAGCAACAAAAGTAGATCGTTCTGACCGTTTGCATGTTTTCAACCACCGAATTCTCGGGTTGTTGTTTTTTTTCCGGCCTCAAGGGCACAGGGTCCGGGCGCTGCAGCAGCCACCACGGCAGCCCCCCCAGGTCCCACTCAGCGCAGATGTAGGGCCCTGGCCGCAAGAGCACGTCCAGCTCCTCAGTGGCAAACGCCGCGACCAAGGAAAGCCAAGGAACGCAGCCAGTTTTGATGTCTCACCGGTCATTCGGGACCCGTTTGGAAAGTGCTAAAAGAGTGCTCAAAGAGAGACAATGGGTGGAATCCACAGCTTCGCGCATTTACTATAGTCTAGTCCATTACAGCCCACACTGGGTAAGTGAGTGAGCTCACTTTACCCTCAGATCGGTAAGCTCGTTATAGTTTGCCCAAGATGCCCAAGACAAATGACTCGATGTTAGAATGTGGGGTGACTTTCTACAAAAAGGAACCGGTTTAATCCTATACAATCAAAGGGCAGTTTCAATTTCCACGCCCTGGAAGAAATAGATCCCAGCGGATCCAAGTAGATGGCGGAATCGGGGGGGTTTTCCGAGTCCAGGATCTCCTGCAATACAAGACACCCCGTGGCTAATCTACAAGGGGGGGGTTGCCAGCTTATGAATCCTGGGTGCCTATTCCCCGACCGGAAGAGTCACTTCTGAAATGTCCTCGCTCGAGATGGTCATGTGGAAAGAACAGAGGCAACAACTAGTTACATGCCGGGATCATACAGTGCATGAGTGGCTTTTTGGGGGGAACCTTCTGTTGGTCGGCTTCGAAGGAAACCAAAAGGACAACCGCCATTTTGGGGGGGGGTCCCCTAAAAAAGACACCCCCCAGCCCCCACATTGTCAAACAAACACCTCCATAGCACACACCCAATGACATGATCTTAACCCCAACTGTTGTGGACTCCTGGTTGATTCAACCAGGGGGCCCGCACTTGGAGGGAGCCTTGACATTTGGGAGGAACACTCCCAAGGTCCCAAGGCATCTGGTTGATTCCTGCGGGATCAACACACATATACAATTTCTGTACACTACGTACACATGTGTATATATATATATATAAATAAGGCTCATGCACATTATTTGAGAAGACATTCATTTCGCAACATATTCTAAGATTCCTGATAGTCAATAACGGGATTCATGTTGAGAAGGAAATGCTTCGTGGAACAAATGTGGCAAGTCGGAACCCAGTCACATTCATGAAACAATTTCATGGCAGCCCAAGCACGCCGGGTTGAGCAAAACCCATCTTACTTAACCCCCCATCAAACAGGGCAGTAGAAGCACCTAATGGCCAAAGGAGGTCTGCGCTGCCCATTTGCAAATCATTAACTCTTGGGTTCTGCTGATTTCGTGGGAGCAAGGGAAAAGCAGACCCGTGGCTGCTTGCATCCTTTCGGCATTACCTTGGCTTTCTTTGCCTCGCCCCTTACCTCCAAAGGCGGGTCTCAGGCTAGGAAACCCCCCTGGCAGTGGGCGACCTGGAAGAAAGTTGGTTTGCAAGGGGCAAACCCCCAACTCTGGTTGGTTAATTGACACAAAGCTGCCACGGGGCACCAATGTGACCATGGGTTCATATATTGGCCGTTCCCCTGAGACCCCCCCCACCCAAAAAAGAAAGAGCAACAAAACGGGCCAAATGGATTATCCAATGATCACGACTAGCTTCGGACTCTAAGTACCCACCACCCCTATTCTGATCATTTGGCCCTTGACCTCGACAAAAGGACGCACTCAAGAAACCTCAACTAACCAGGCCAGGCAGCCATTTCCTGGCAAAGGCTCAGGAATGCAGGCAGATCTCGGCGGCCTCAGAGACTCGCCGGGGCGTCCGACGAGTCGCCGTCCCGAAGGTAAGAACTCGTTTACTCCATGACTCCGGGGGTAGAAACAGGTCTGAAGGTCTAGGACAACAAACCAAGGTTCACAACGGCCAATGTCGAAGCTATCCAGTGATGGCTGTGGGTTTAAATAGGTACCCAAAATAGGTTCTGCCTTTGGAACATTGATCGAGCTAGATAGTGGGTTAAAGTAACGGGACCTAAAGGAATTTTTGAGAACACTTCAGAACATCTAGCAAATCACCAATCATTTTGTCGTCGGTTTGTTGGCGGAAATGGAACCTGCAAATGTGAGCTTCAACCGCCTCCAGGAGGTTTCCAGGGCATAGACCAAATGACTCGGAGCTCAGACACACGCCCCATACGAGAGCTTTGTTCGTTCCTTGCCCCTTGCCTCAAGAGCCTAACAGCTTGACCATTCGAGCCCATAAAAAGCAGACCAAGACGAAAAGGTAGGGTCAGTTCGATACGGGCAAGTCAGTTACTCGTGCATTCAAGAGCTTGGAGGAGATTTTGGTTCATCAACTCATGATTCGTCAAGGCCAACAGTGTGAACAGCCCCCATCCACGCATCTGACACATAGATCATGCCTTGGATCGCAAACCAGCTTTGAAACGCCCTGAAATTCTAGACTAAGGGTCCCGACGGGTTTGGGTTCCTGGAAAAGGGTTGGTTTTCAGGCCGCTTGTTGTGGGGATCTCCGTGGGAGAGTCTCGGGGAGGTGCGGCGCCTTCGAAGTCGAACTCCCCGACCTCCGGCTCATGCAGGTTCCAGGGCACGTAGACCTCTGCGCTGTTGCAGCCTGAAGCGCGGTTTCAGCCGGAACCCAAGCGAGATATTCATAGCCCGCCAGAATAGGGTGGAATACACTGAACGCAGGGGCTTGCAGGCTGGAATCCTGGATGATGGATTTTAAGGGGTGGGGAGGTCAAGGGTCTTTCAGGGCGACAAAATATTCTGCCAGGGCCAGTTTCACAATGCGTCCAAAAAAATGAATTCCAAAGGGATCCCCAAGTACAGGACCCACATTGTGAGCTTGTTTTCTTGCCAGTGAGCTCGCAGCGCAGAAAAGAGAACACCTGGGATTGCGACTGGGTCCAGTCTTCCGTGACATCATCAACATTCGCCTCTGGAAAGCCTTAAGGGACCGAGTTCTTGAGATCACCAAAGTTTGCCTGTTTGTTTCTGGGCCTAGATGAGAAACATCGGCAAGTCATTTTGAGAATCCCTCAAGACGTTCACCTGGGACCCGACCCGGGTTTTGGGCTCAAAGATTCGCGCCTAGGCCCTTCAGCTTCTCCAGGCGATCCCGCCACTGCTCCGGCAGCACCCGGAAGTAGCTCACGGAGCCCGACAGGATCCGGTGTTGCCTGAAACGAATCTACCCCTGCCCCACCCCCTCCCCCCCACCCCCTGCCCCTTGCCCCCCCCCCTTGTCCCCCCCCCGCCCCCGGAACTGCTTCAGTCAAGAACCGTGGAAACCTTCTGATACGGTCGGACATCGCCCATGGTCAGTGGACATAAGACAACTCATCGAGACCGAATCAGTGAGCGGGCGGGCATTCACCCGATCGACGATCAGATTTCAAGGAAGAAACCGACCGAAATCAACTCCAGATTAGGGTTCTGAAACCCGTTTTCCAATCGCACCATTTCCACCCTGAACAACCGGCGCTGGTTGAGTGGAGAATGGGAACCCGGGGTCAACATATGAAAACGAGAGATTTCAGTTCAGATGATTAAAACTCGTAAGCATGGTCAAAGGCTCATCCGTTAAATCCGCCTTTCAATGCCATTTCCCCCTTTACAGCTGACGAGGAAAAGGGCGCCAATTGTTTGGGGGTGTTTGAGCGTGGAAAGATTTCACAATGAGAACCCAGGATTAATGAACCACTTGTTGACTAATACGGGGGTCTTCCATGTTGGAGGGAACATTATTTTTATGAATAATTCTGGATCGACATTACATGTCCTATCTGCTCGTAAGCATTCACCTGCTGGATGGCTAAGCTGGAAACGTGACGAGACGCAGGCATCGACGTGCCGTTAGAATGTGTAGCATGCCTCGGCCCATATCGTGTTCCCACAAGGCGCGTTGTACACTGGGAATGGAGACCCTCGGAGTCAATAGCGACGGCCAGTTCCGAAACAAAAGAGTCACATTTACTTGCCCAAACAACCACTCAACAACAAAAACAGGGAACCGAACGGCAAAACCTGTTGCGACCATGACATGACTACGGAAAACTCAGATCAACTCTTGGAAGCCAAGCAGTCAGAAAGACATGGGCATCTAAATGGCGAGGACATGCTTTCTGCTAGGAACCGCTGGCACAGGTTCTTGTGCAATGTGGTTCGCTGATTGCTTCTACTGAACAGACAGTTGGGTGAGAAAGGGCGCACCCCCCCGCCCCCTCCGGTCATCTCCTGTACACAAAAACATGAAAGGAGCTGACGAGGTGCGAGTCGTCCAGGATGAAGTCATCCCCCCGGATCTCCAGCCTGGAAGCAAGGAGAGACTGCTAGGCCTGTACAAAAAGTGTATCTTTTTGCTTCCCGCATGCAATTGGTCGGTAGCATTGCAAATGGTTGCTCCTTCCATGCCGCCCGGTTTGCACTCCGGCCTGCCTCGCAGCGAGCGAAAGTGAAGCCGGAATTGACTCTGGAAATGTTGTTACATTCCAAGCGCTTGTCGAATTCATTGATGTTCCTCAAGAAAAGTAAGGAGCACCATGCACCCCATGAGAAAGGGTTAGGGGCCTTGCGCCTCTGTAGCCGGTGCTCCAGCTTTCATGTGCTGCCTGGGTGCGGAATCCTCCATTTGTCTGCATCGCATGGCATGTGTCTGGATAGCTGCGACCTTTGCCAAGGCAAGCGCAAATGCAAAATCGGTGGAAGAGTGACTGTGCATTCACTACAAGGCCGCCATCCAAATGTGCAAAATGCCAAATTTGCTAACCTGCCCGGTGGAGGCTCTGGGCCCGTTGGTAGTGGTCCTCTATTTCTGAGAAACACCCATGTGCCATGTGAGTGTTCGCGTTCGTGTCTGTGTCCGTCCGTCCATCCGTTCGTTCGTCCATCCTTCCGTCAGTGTGTGCGCCGGTGTTACGTCTAAAATTATGCACCGTGTAACATCGATGAACGATTACCTACTCATAGACAAGACCTCTTGGGTTCCTTATATGCACTTTCAAACGTCACCCCACTGGAAAAAACTCATCTAAAATTGGCCGATTATGTTTAAAACCAACCGAATACAAACGGACATATGGGCATGTGTTGCGGGTCCAACAAATTGCGATTGTCATTTTCTTTTCCCCTACAAACCACGGTGAAACTGGCACCCTCAAAAACAGCGCACCCCATGGGGTTGCCTCTCAAACCGGGAACGTGTGTTTCCTTTTGGTTTCCCTTGCCAACCCTGAAAGGATACTTTGTGGTACCTTCAAAGAAGCACTCTAAGACCCCGCCTGCGCTGGGCAGCGCAACGGATTTTGCAGCTTCGGGCGCCTGACGGGGGCTAGTGACCCAGTTGTAAGCCACCCGAAAGGATCGGGCACTTGGGTTGACCTATATATACAAGGGATTTAGAGGGTGACACCGATGTGGGTTCACCAGGTATCTTGGCCTCATCCTTTTTGGATGGATTGGTCAGAGGTGTAGGCTCGTGGTTTACCAATCAAAATAGTCCAGAAAAACCACGAAAGTGACAGTAAGTCCGCCCATTTACCTGGGATAGCTCAAGTCTAATCAGCATCTTGCTTGTGTTGGGTTCAACTGAAGCTGGCACGCCAATTCTGCTGATTGGTTTTGGACTGTCCCTTGGCACACTGCTGATTAGTTTTTTGGAGTAGTTGTCTTACTGGTTGGTCCGATGTTGTGTTTTCTGCACAGCTGGGTTCTCACCTGCGAGACAATGACAGCGCCGGTGTGCAACTTTGCACCACCCTCAAACTACCCTTAGAACTTGGACATCGCCCCCAAATTCCAGGGGCTGGTTCCCAAACTATACCCTTTTAAAAACTGACATCACCCCAAACTTATGGGGGTGGTTCCCCCTCCTTTTTGAGTCTTCGAGTGTCCAGGACTTTGACCGAGGTTCGGAGAACCGCCCGAGCCCGAAAACGCTTCGCCGCCTCGCCGGCGAAGGCTAGCGCCCGCGGCGAAAGGAAGCGCCGCCAGGCCCAGCCCGTGGCTTCGGAAGCTCGGCCTTGAGCTCAGAGGCGAGCTTCCCTCTCGGAGCTTGGATTGGAATGTTGGGGTGTGTGTGTGTGTTGGCGAAGAGGTGGCAGTAGAGAGCACACCCGGTTTCCTGATTGTAGCTTGGTGAGTGTGACACATGTCATCCCCTTGCATGACGGCAAATATTGACCGTTGCTCAGTTGGACCCCCGCATTTGATTTGTTTTTCTTCTGAACCTGCAGGGACTTTCCCACAAAAGCTAAAAATGGCAACCCCATTTAAGCTCACGTGTAGTCAAAGGATCTGGAAATCAAAACAAATTGATTATGCTACCATCCACTAATTATGGGATTGGGTTTGGGCTGGCTTTGAGGCTTTGGGGGCTTTGGGGCTTTGCTTTGGGGGGGTGGGGGCACGGGTTTGGAATTGGGGGGAGGGATTTGGGAAGTAACGAAAGTCGATTGAGGAACATGGTCCAAACCAGGTACCTCGCGTTGTCAGGTTCTATGTTGAATAGGAGAATAGCTGCTATTTGACTAAATCCCCAAGCTGCTTTTCGGCAGATGATGGCAAATGCAGGGAAAGTGACGACCGCATGTCCCATCGGTAGAACTGCACAGATCCCAATTTACGAGGAGATTTCAGAGCCGATTCTGATCCAGCAATTTGCCATTGCACACATCCCGCCTCTCTCATCAAAGAGACTTAGGAGCTAGTACAACAAAGGCCAAGCCATGATTAGACCTGGCAATCTTCTCCCTATGTGTCCTTTTTGGACAATCCATGGCCTTGGTAAATGATAAGAATTAAAGTGCCATGTTTAATAAATCTGACTTAGGACATCCATGCAGAAGAATCCTCACGTTGGAAGCATTATCCTTAATTTGTCTATTGAAAGGCCTTGCAAAAGGGCATTCTGGACCCGGAGAGTAGATGGCACCATTCCCTCATTTTGGTTTAGTCATCCCTTCCTTACCCACATCTAGCGGGAGTTGTGCCATTAACTTTCACCCTGGTGTAAATCTGTTCAGCGGCTCCTTCCTTTCTGAAGGGAATGGAACGGGCTTTTCGTTGGATTCCTTTGTTTTCCTATGGATTCTGGGTGGCGTGCTTTGCATTACTTACATTGACCTCGATCACCCACTTGTGCTCTTGCACCCAGGCGCAGCCCTCCAGTCGCCTTCTCCCAACCCGAGACCCGAGGGCGCGGCCCACGGATAACCGTCCTAACCGTCGCCCGGGCCGCGAGCCGCGTGCTTTGCGCGGATCCGCGGCACCTGCTGGGTTTTTTGATGTCTGAATGAACTTGGCGGAGTGACGGCGTGTGTCTGTTCTGTTTTAGGGGACCCCCAAAATGCTGTTGGTTTTCCTGTTGGTTTCCAAAAAGCTGTACCAAAAAGGAGACATCTGTTTCCAGCAGTGATCCGGATCCCTTTAAAATGGGACACCCGGGTGGTCAAAATTGACAGGCAAGAAAACCAAGCATCGCCAACAGCCCTGCAACCTGTGCGGAACCTACCTGAAACCCTCCGGAAAGCTGCCCCAAGGCCACGGATTGGCGGATTGAGTCCAGAGCTGTCTCTCTTAGCGCAAATAGTTAGTAAATCCCCCATATGTATATACACTAACATATTATATATATATATAGATATCAACACTTCTAGCACAAGAAATGCATTTCAGTTCTATCATTCAGATAGGACAAACTACAGTATCCCCTAGTAAAGGAGTTTCATGAGTGTAGGCGGAGACTCACCCTTCTTTCCAGTGAACCACCAAACACCAGAAAAGGACTCCTCCTGATTTGGCTCGCTTTGAATCAATTCTCTGGAAATTGTTGAAAATAATGATGATTTGAAGAGAATGGACACAACAATTACCCCCTCGAATTGACCTAGCAGATTTGTCACAAGCCAGTGCACGTGTAGCATTTGCCTGGCACCTTCTGCCGTCCAAGTTGTACCCAAAAGGACGGTCCAGCAGCCAAAGAGCCTGCCGAATCAAACAGCACTTCCAGGCCCGGAAGGGAAGGTACTGCTGGATCACTTGGATTACTTCCTCTCTTGTTGGTGTTGAGGGTAATTATCCTGCTTGGGGCGGCTTCAAGGGGAAACCAAAGAGAAAAAGCACAATTTGTGGGGGTCCGCTTTTAGGAGTGTCTGAAACTCTGTCCAATTGGTGTCTTTTAGTGCTTATCGAACTGCTACAAAGCCAGTCAAGAACCGGATTCCCGGCTCTCAAAAAGGTGTGGAGGCCCTTGTCTCCCCTTGTCTTTTCTTGTGACAAGGGGGTACGTCCCCGCAACCTCCCTGTCCTCGCGTTCGGTACCCCCCTCCTTTCATAAGTTGCTCGGAAGGCCGGCGGATTTCCATCTGGGATTTGTTGGGATTGTATAGGAAGAACAAAAAAGGGATGGGAAAAGGGCACCCCTGTTGTTGGTTGGGTTCAAAGGGAAACCCTTCCCCAAAGAAGCGGCAAGAAAAGGTGCCACTGGGCTGTTGGGGAGCCATATCTTGGCTCAACCCCAGGGTGCAAAACACATGTTTGCAGATTAGGTGTCTGTTGTTAGCCTCTTTTGTTAGCTACAGAAAGAGAGTCGGGACGAGACACTAATGTTGAGGCTGTCGAAAGGAATATTGACCATGTTTCCGATATTTGACCTATTTGGGTGTGGCTCAAAATTAAACAGGACGGGTTACGCAGGTTTTGGTCGATGTGTCCACTTACCAGGGTGCCATTTTGGTACCGGTTTTTTGAGCCACAGCCATTTAGTAACATCGGAATAGACCCCGATTTCGCCCTGGGACCCCTTGCAGGCTGATCGGCACCATCCCCGGCAGCGCCGCCATGGACGTGCAGGGAGGATCTGGAAAAGAGATCCAAAGTTTTCCGATAAAATCGGAGGGCAGAAATCAGAATCATGAAAAAAGTGATCCACTGCTTGTGGCTTCCTGCAAGCGTCTTTGAAAGCAAGGAATATCTTGCTTCTCCTCATTGTGGTTTGCTTGCAGAGGCAATTTTTGAAACCTATGCCTGTTTGGGACCAGTTGCAGCCCACCGACATGAAAGATGGCCAGGCTCGAGGGCATATGTCTCACGTGAGAGTGCACACAGCGTGAACCTAGAGACCACATCCCTTCCGCCTGGGTTGCCGTCCACTCTCCAAACGGATCCTTCGGATTGCCTCTAAGCGGCAACGTCATTTCTACGCTGAGCATCTTTGAAGCTGAACGTGTGCTTCGTTGCAGATTTGGCAAACTGGAGCCTGACAAGGCGTGGCAGAGGTGTGCTGACATACCCAAGAGGGTTATCAGGTTCAAAGTCACCCAAGCGGGATAACGGAAAACCGCCCAGTTTCTGACCTTGCTACCCCCGCAAACGGTCAAAGCAGCGGGCTCAGGAGCATGCAGAACCTTGTCCGAACGGCCGGCCATCAGTTTGCCAGGGAGTTCAAATGCCGGACTCCGATGTGGGAGGTCGCGTGCCAACACAAACAGACATAACCCCACCCAGTGATTTGTTTTCCTGTATGGTAACGACGAGAACCAACCCTGAAAACCCAAAGGAACATGGCTGCTCAAAGCGGAACCCTGGTAAAACACGACACCCCCATACTTGGTGTTTCCATGTACCCATGTAGGAAACCACAAGAACCACCCTTAAGATGGCTGGCTACCTATGCTGGGCTGAGATTTCTGGGATAGGCGAGGCCGGCTCCAAGTCCCTCACTTCCACATCTCCGTCGCGGGCCGCCTGAATCCATCGGCTTGGCCCCGGAAAAAGATCCCGGGGTTGGGACCTGGCGAAAAGGTGGGAGGAAACCTGGGCCTTGGAACGTGGCAAAAGGGATCCTGGTGCCCCAACATGGGGGCACTTAAGGGCAGCTTCAGGGTCCAGGAAATCCTCGGCTTCGGATTCTCAGTCCTTTGTGGGACCGTGTTTTTGTTCGCTCCATGTTTATTTGCAGGGGAGTAGTCTTCGAATGCACCAGTCACTTGGCTTTTCATGTCTGTTGATTGGCAACAATTCGTTCCTTCCGTTGCTCCGCCACTTTGGACCCAAAGTGAGAATCAACATCTAGTATGATCTTCATTCACTACTTTATCACTTTTGCTGGAAATGTCCGATCCTCAATCCTCATTCGTAATCCGTAGTACCACTGCAAGGGAAACTCCTACCATCTGGCTCAAGGACTAAGGATTGATATGAACAACTCGAAAATGAGGAGTCCATACTTCCTGGTAAGCCGCCTGGTTGTACCAAACTAACAACAGGGTGAACTCGATCCAGGGGCCTTGACCGTGGGCCATATGACTATTGACCCAGATTACCAACAACGTACCAACCTTGGTCGAACGCCCAAGTACTGCGGTATCACAGAAACTCCTATAGCGACTCCTTGGCTTTTTGTCGACTCAAATGTGATTCGCCCGAAAGCGCCCCGAAAGCTCCACGAAACATAAGCTATTTACACACGGCTTGCACCGCCTTGCATCACCTTGCACCAACTTGCACATCCTTGTAAGATGAAAATGCATGCGATTCCCGGAACGTCCAATAAGCTGGTTGCATTTTATGCGACGCAAGGGGCGCTTGCACTATTGTAAAATCATTGGGATCATCTGCTCCTGACTTCTACTTTCGTAGAACTCGTATGGCACGGCTAAGCCCTGAGCTCTGGCCAACCTTTGGTTCGCAGCCAGCGCTTCTTCGAAGGTCCACACTTCGCCGGCCCAGGCCTCGCCAAAGGTCTCCACGTTCCTCGCGTCCGCGCCATTTTCTCGATCAAGTCGAGCCTCGAGTGCCCGTAACCGGCTTTCGTCATCTGGCGCATCCTGACTTTCGCGATCATCATCCTCCCAATACCAGTGGGGCATCTGCAACAGCCTCGGAACTCCGCCGGGCCTTGCTCCGCAAAGTTGTTTGTTGCGGCGCATTACCTCAGCGCTTGTGCTCGAATGGAAAGGAAGCACACTGGGTGTCTGGGGTTGGTGAACCAACATTGACCAACCAGATCCAACCAGTAATAAACATCAACCATCAACCAGAAACCTAAAGAAAAACAGAGTTCCACTTTCTGACTCCAAGATACACTTCAACCTTTCTCCTTTTACGGGGAGCGAACCACCAAGTTTAAGCCTACCCTGGGGTTGTCCAAAAGTGGAACCCTGCCAAACAAAAGGAAAGGGAAAACGGACGTCACTGGGTTAGGCTACCTCCTCCATGGTGAGCAAAGCATCGCGGCGGTACACGCGACCTGTTGCTCGAGGCCTTGGAGCTGGTGCAGTCGCCGGCTTCGAGTGATCAGCTGAAGACACAACTGCTGGATGTGGAGGTACCTCGGGGTGGCTGGGTGGTGGCTGGGTGGGTGGGTGGGTTGGTGGGCGGGCAGGTGGGCCGGCGGGCGGGCGGGCGGGCGGGCGGCTGGCTGGCTGGCTGGCTGGCTGGCTGGCTGGCTGGTTGGGTGGCTGGTTGGGTGGCTGGGTGGGTGGGTGGGTGAGTGGCTGGGTGGGTGGGTGACTGGCTGGGTGGCTGGCTGGGGTGGCTGGCTGGGTGGCTGGCTGGGTGGCTGGGTAGGTGGCTGGGTGGCTGGGTGGGTGGGGGATTCAAGGCCACCAACCAGTTGTAAGGCGGTTCCGCATTGCACAAGGACGGATGGTCTAAACTGTTTGCAAGTTACCATACATGTGTCTTTTTGGAGGGTACTGACTCTCAAGGCTCACTAACAGAATTCAGCAGGCGCTCTTTGACCTGCTTGACATTGACAAACTGGCCGCAAGCACCCCGCCTCTGAGACATCAAGAGAGACCCGTCGTGCCCGGCCACCGGGGCCGCGATGAGGATCTGCTGACTCCCAGAGGAAGGACACCCTCGACCCCACTTGGAGCTCGGCCGAGCCCAGGCCCGGCACCTTTCTCAAATGGACCGAGCCCAGTTTGGGTTCCTAAGGTTGGTTCACCGGCATGGCTTCCAATATTTGGTTCCTTTCCTTGCTGGAATAACCCCTATGGTTCAACCATCCCCCAAGGTTTCCTTTGAGGGAATCCCTGCATCCTTTCCCAAACCCTGGGTCATTCCCTACTGAGCACCAGCAAGTTTCGGATGCTACACGATGTCGCTCGGCGCAAGCGATCGGAACCCGATTGACATGGCCCAAAGGTACCCTTTGCGGGACCATGTTGTGGGTTTTGAAGGGAAGCCAACATTGAAACCCATGATTTATTTTTGTGGGGGGGGTCCTGTATTTTGAGGCACTGCCATGTGGAGCCGTTTTTGAGAGATCCCTTTTTCCGAGACAACGGTTAAACGGTTAACCACGGAAGCCAACCAGACCACGGTTAACCAAGCCCCACCAGGTCCGAGAAGTGCAGAAACACGTCGAAGCCCTTCTCGTTCGTGACCTCAGCTCCGAGGCCCAACTCCTCGGACTCGTCGCGGCTCACGAAGCCGAAGCCTTTGCCGGGGAAGAGCCGCCGCACGGTGCCTCAGCGAACTTGATTTTCAAGAAGGCAACGTCCCCTTGGTAGTTGCAAGAAGGCAACGCCCACCCAAAAAGGGGAAAGAAAAAGGGCACCCATCTTTGGTCCGCTGATCTAGGGACTCCCCATTGAAGAAAAAAAAGGGTGCGCCAGTGAGCAGCTGGGGTGCCCTGGCACATTGTGTCCGAACCTTGGCAAGCTTGCGGTGGTGGAGGGGGTGGTGGGATCACTTTGCGGCTCATGTCCTCCAAGATGGTGGAGGTTTTCCCGGTCGAACTCTGATCAGGGCGAATATGTGGGCGGGGCATCCGCTGCGCATTCTGCCACTGCTGCCACTGCCAGTACTGGCGCTGCATGGATGGAAGCACCCTTTCTTTTGAGGGTCCCACAAGAGAAAGGCAAAGGCTCTGTGCAAGAGTGTCATTCTTGGAACGTGGAACAGGTCCTCAGGTCCTCTCACGAAACGGATCTAGCTGCAGCCACTTTGGGTTTGTGTTTCAGATGTGATGCTTGTCTTTTGGTCGTGGTACTCTTTTGGGGTTGTTTGAAAGGGAAACCAAGCAAGCGCCGACTAAGACTGAATTGAGCCAAAGCACGCAAAAGAGGAAAACACCTGCCAGTGATCAGCCGTGTCCGCTTTAGATTCCTGGCGGCGCAAACGACACCAGTCCAGGTGGGCCCTTTTGTGAGCAGCCCGTTGCGGTTCCATGGTTTCCGTCTTGGGTTGAAGCCTACCCTACAAGTAGATAGGCATCCTGGATCTCCAGCTGTGCGGAGAGGCCCCGACTTTTTGGCCAAGCCCACTGGTTTTGAAAGGACATGCCGCAACGAGGTTGTAAATCAACACGGGCCAACAAACTCAACTGAGGTTTCATCAAATGTGTGGCTCCTTTACATGTCATCCTTGTGTCAAGCTTCACTCATGTTGTTTGTTTCATATTCCGGGTGGACCCTCCGCTCGATTCGCCACCAAAGTCAACCCAACATGCTCAAAGAGCACACAAAATAGAGGGCGACAATGGGCATGTCATTGACTGCCAGGGCTTAGCCTCAATCGTTGATGGGACCACGAGTGAAACTGGTGAAATCCACAGTTGGCGCATCCAAAGCAATTACTTATGGATCCCACACATCTCACAGTGTCGTACCCATTGTACCCGTGCTGTTTGTTTGTTGAAATTGAAAACCGGAGTGCGACACTCAGCCATCAATCCCACCAAGTCAAACTCTATCTCCCACTAACATGGCATCTGCTGGAGGGTCCTTCACTCGCTGGGTTGGTTTCCAAACCCCTTGAAAATCCCTGCCTTCCGTCCACAGTCTTCCAGGGGCGTGTGCGGCTCGTGTATCACTCGAAGATTTCAGATCGAGCCTTTCTGGAGAGGGGGGGGTGCTGATTTTTGCCCCCCCCCCCCCCCCCCCCCCCGACGATGCTTGCTGCAAACGGTCAAACCGTGTGCACTCCCGGCCTTCAGCAACATGACGTGCAATGAATTCAGCGTTAATTCGTTTAAACTTGACTCGTGCCTGCCAAGCCCTGTCCGGCGTTTCCTCAAATGAGGGGGGAAGGATCCTCATTTGTTTGGGGGTTCCTTAGTCTTCCATTTCGCACGCCAGTGAGAGTTTTTATCTAACAACCCCAGGTTTGGTCAGTGGTGGGCTTCATGTCGCAGCAGGGTAAGGGCAGCTATCGCTCGACTCCGCGGCTTCTCGCTGCTTTGCATATAATTCATTTTACTTTTCTGCCTGGCAGATTGACGTGGAACCTCAAAGCCGAGTGGGATGAAGCTCGCTCTGGGGCGGTTCCTGCCATCAATTTGGGAAGTATGTCCCACGCAACTCCAAGGAAGTGCTGTGGGTTCTGGTCTCAGCCTCACTCACGTGCCTTCAAAATTGTTTGTTTTCCCAGAAAAAACATGGGCAAATCAGTTAGTCCTTGGCTTTGTGGGAAATTAAGCAAGTCCTCTGTGGCCGTCCCAAATCCACCATGGACTACAAGACACCATGGTGGCGAACCTCACATGCATGTCCGTGACACCTTGAGCACAACGCAGCGGTCACCCCCCGTATACCTGAAGGGGGAGGCTTTTTTTTCTCGGTGGAGAGTCTACCAATTCTACTGTTCGTCTTCCAACCACAAGCGGGAAACTATTTGTCTTTCGAACCTAAGCGCCGGTGTTGCACTCACACAAGCTTGCCCTGACGACCTGAGCGCTCCTTTTGCAGAAATCCTTCTTTGGAAACTTGAGGAGCGGGTGAACGAAAGCTAGCAGTTGTTGCATGAGATGGGTCGGTGACAGAGTGGATTCATAGGTAGCTTGTGTACAACGAGAGGCCCGGCAAGATTCGTAGGATGCGACACGCAAACGCACATGGTGGCGTGGCAAACCTTGAAAAATGAAAACAACGAGAGGCGTCAGAAGCTGTCTGAAAGCACCTCTGGGTTCTGCATGCTGCGTGTGCAAAGATTCTTGCGAGGTGGTTTACCGAGAAGACTGAGGTCTCAAATGAACAAGCTGAATCGGTGGAACATGTAAAAGTTCGTAGCACCAAGTCCAAAACGGGCAAACCGAGACTGCTGAACACTGAGCCACTGCCCGGGGGGGGGGATGGACCAGGGAGGAATCGAGCCTGAGACCGGGGGGTGGGGGGGAGGGGGGGGGTCTAAATAATTGATGTTTTTCAATCTTTTCGGCTCAAATAATTGAAAAAATCAATTATTCGGCATTTGAGCCCCTTACCTTGCTTACGCAAGGAGAAACTTCAGCTAGCTAAAGCTAGCTTTCGTGAAAAATGGCTCAACCCCCTAGGATTTAGAAGGCAGTTGAAGAGAATGGTCAAGTAATGTTGTTCACCAGCCGACTGTATACGGCTGATCGTATACGTCCCATACTTAAGCCAGAGATATGTAGGTGGGTAATGGCCAAAAACCTCCTTGCGTCAGCGTGGTTGTCGCTCCCTGAACCCATAGTTGTGCGAAATTGTGGGGCATCCCTGCTCTGGATGGACAAAATCATGCACCAGTCGGTGGGTGGTGTATCAGAGTTGTGTCTAGGTTCAATCCCAACCAGCTGCTTCTCCATGCAACGTACAGGGGTCGTTTGACAATGTCACATATGGCTTCACACTTTCAGCCTTTGATGATATCGCTGGAGAGCTTCTGGCAATGGTCCCCACAGGAACATGTCCCAATAAAATAGTATGTGGCCCAATACTTCCAGTTTCCTTATAGCAAGCAACCAGAGAAAGCCAGAAAGCCGTCATGAAGAATTAAAGGCAAACCACACATGGTTGTAGTACCTACCGTTGCCTTTCGCCTCAAAAAAAAGTTGGCATGCCAGGGCTCCAAAATCTTGGAGGCATCAAGCGGAAAAAAAAGCACTCCGGACAACTGGTGCAGGGGTGTGTGTATCCGCAGTCATTAGACTACCTTAGAAACGACGCGTCTGTCTGGCTTTGGTACAGTAACCAGGTAACTCTAGCAACAATCGTCTCAGATTTGCCGTGCGGGGCCGCTTGGCATTTTGCTCTTTCTTTGCAAAGCAACGGCGGCAACGGCAACAGTGATCCGCTGTGATCCTCTGTGATCAACTGTGATCAACTGCGATCCATGATCCAGTGATCGCTGCATTGGGTAACTCGGCGCGTCTGACTTCCGATCAACCACCTCCTGATCGTGAGTTCCGTTTGGGGGACTTCGCGATTTTGGGTGTTGTTTCCAAACAGGGGAATTCCCGAACGGGGGGGGGTCCCTCTACAAAGAAAACAAACGCTTCTGTGCCCAGACTGAGACCCCTGAATAAACTCATCTTGTTGCTGCTTTGAAGAGGAGGCAAAAAGCATAAACATGGCAAGCCGTTTGTCTGGCCAAGAACAAGGATGCCCACAAAGCAAGCAACGCCTCAAACCCTCATAAACAATCAAACCCTCCAACCCGCAACCCCCAAAACTACCGACCCCCAAAGAAGGATGCCCTCAATTCAACCGCCAGCCCATTTTAGGGAACATCAACGAGAGATGAGAGATGATTGTAGCCTGTCCGCGCCCCGGCCCAAAGATCAAAACATGCGGCGGTCGCTCCAAAAGAAGGCAAGGTGAAGGGCTCCGAGCTTCTCTGAGCTATGGCTGTGTGAGCGGAGTGAGGGCTTGGAGGGGTTGGCATAGTGCGGTTGCGAACGGTTTCGGAGGTTCCATGGAGCAGTTGCTCAGAAGGTTCCGGAGGTCGGGTTCCATGGAGCGGTTGGATAGAGTTCTGGAAGGTTCCATGAAATGGCCCCCAGGGGTTTAAAGTAGTTGCTTCACGAACTTTTCTGGCTGCTCTATTGGGGACCCAAATTAGGGCCCAGGAATTTTGGTTCCTTTTTGGGGGGGGGACCCCATCCCACCAGGCCGGACGCGCCAGGCAGCCCCAAGGGCGACACCGCGCTCGGTGGACGTTACAAAACTTGAGCCAGGTATGGAGGCCATCGGTCGAACCCCAGTTGCAACCTGTGGCAGTGAACTACTTGGCCCAATCACAGGGCCCCAGGCTGCACCCAAAGCATAACGTGATCAGAATCGACTTCATAGTCAACCTAAACGACTGAAATAGTGTAAGGATATTTGCCGCACCTCCGAGGGGAATTCCTCGGCTAGGCGTATGCCCAGGTACAACCAGTGACCCTCGTACAAATTGGCGGAAGCCAGCCAACCAAAACGGAATCAGAGAGGGTGCTGACTACCTGTGGGAAGCGATGTCCGGTACTTTTGCTCTGTCCGTTCCAGGATTGCACCTGGGAGGCGGAAAAAACAAATTGACGACCGAAATCATGAGATCCACTCGAGTAAGTTGGTCTTATTTGTTCACCTTTGGGTTGCTTAAGCGACGAATAGATCTTCCAGGATGTAGCCTTGCGATTTCAGAATGCCTTGGGTTCGCAACAAATTGACCCGGGTTCCGACAGACCTCATCGCTTGGGCTTCCGAGGGTTGAAAGTCCATCGATCTACGGGCTGAGGGCAGTCCGGGCGCGAAAGCTCAAAACATTGCAGCGAACCTAGGCCTTTTCTACCTAAAACGGGGTGGGGGTATTGAGCCAGCTTTAGTTTCATGTTCATGGA